GAGTATGGATTGGTTAGAGAATTGAGCTGTATTTTGATGAAGAGATGGGTGCAATGTGTTGTTGGTGTTGACTTGTATCAGCGATCGGATGTGTGTGTTCGTGTGATTTTGTGAGTGAGTGAGTGAGTGAGTGTGTGAGTGTGTGAGTGTGTGTGTGTGTGTAGTGTGAGTTTCTGTGTGTCGGTAGTAGTGGGCGTTTGTGTTTGTAGTAGCGGTGTGGAATGGTGGCATGGCTCCAGGACGGGGTGGCCGAGTGGTTAAGGCGATGGACTGCTAATCCATTGGGGTTTCCCCGCGTGGGTTCGAATCCCATCCCCGTCGAGTGTCGCTTTTACACACACGCCAGCTCACCGACTACACACTACACACCACACTGTGCAACATCACTCACACTCCCACTGCCTACCCGACTGACTCTCACCACCGGCTGTTCCCGAGTTCAAGTCGCATGGATATGATGATCGAGTCGGTTTGTACGCGACCGATCGAAATTCATCGTCGCCTCAACACACCTCACCATCGATAACATATCGCACGTCTCCTGTTGACACCACAACGTCGTCATATCAATCGGTCTACACGATCACGCATCAATCCACTGAGTTGCGACAAACACACCCAACGTATCATTGACCAACTGAATCATCAAATGTTACAACCGCCTCAATAATACATCCACTCCCACCAACCGACTGTTCACGTCGGAACACCGAAACAACCAGAGCGATGAGTCATTGAACGACCGAGTCGAGGCATCCATCTAACCGTGATTCTGTGCGTGCATCTGTGTGTGATTGCATCACCGCCTGATTATCTGAATAGCTACACCAACCAACCACCCAACCACCCACCCACCCACATATTCATCCTAACGTCCGTCCGTTTGCTCAATCGTTCTTTCGCTTATTTGTCACTTAGTATTTATTGCTCGTCATCTTGTTCAGTGGAGATCTCGGTCTCTCCCATATCCACTTGATCCATTTGTCCACGTGTCCGATTATCCGATTGTCTATCGGTCAATAATCAGTCGGACAGTCGATTGGTGGGCTAGCCACCAAGTCAGCACACCAGACAATCAGTCAGCCAGTCAGTCTATCAGATGTTGCATCAATCATTGGTCCGTCCCAGCCTACAATAGCATGACCGATTCACTGCGACTCAGTGCTACGTTGTCTTCACGACCGTTCTGCGTCGGTCACATTCAATCCGTACATTGTGTTGGTCAGACGACTCGATTTTCATGTAGGGTGATCCACACCACAACGTGGATGAGAATGCACATGTGTGGGGAGTGAGTGAGTTTATGGAGTGTTCGGTTTGGAGAATGTATGGAGTATGGATTGGTTAGAGAATTGAGCTGTATTTTGATGAAGAGATGGGTGCAATGTGTTGTTGGTGTTGACTTGTATCAGCGATCGGATGTGTGTGTTCGTGTGATTTTGTGAGTGAGTGAGTGAGTGTGTGAGTGTGTGAGTGTGTGTGTGTGTGTAGTGTGAGTTTCTGTGTGTCGGTAGTAGTGGGCGTTTGTGTTTGTAGTAGCGGTGTGGAATGGTGGCATGGCTCCAGGACGGGGTGGCCGAGTGGTTAAGGCGATGGACTGCTAATCCATTGGGGTTTCCCCGCGTGGGTTCGAATCCCATCCCCGTCGAGTGTCGCTTTCACACACACGCCAGCTCACCGACTACACACTACACACCACACTGTGCAACATCACTCACACTCACTCACACTCCCACTGCCTACCCGACTGACTCTCACCACCGGCTGTTCCCGAGTTCAAGTCGCATGGATATGATGATCGAGTCGGTTTGTACGCGACCGATCGAAAATCATCGTCGCCTCAACACACCTCACCATCGATAACATATTGCACGTCTCCTGTTGACACCACAACGTCGTCATATCAATCGGTCTACACGATCACGCATCAATCCACTGAGTTGCGACAAACACACCCAACGTATCATTGACCAACTGAATCATCAAATGTTACAACCGCCTCAATAATACATCCACTCCCACCAACCCACAGTTCACGTCGGAACACCGAAACAACCAGAGCGATGCGTCATTGAACGACCGAGTCGAGGCATCCATCTAACCGTGATTCTGTGCGTGCATCTGTGTGTGATTGCATCACCGCCTGATTATCTGAATAGCTACACCAACCAACCACCCAACCACCCACCCACCCACATATTCATCCTAACGTCCGTCCGTTTGCTCAATCGTTCTTTCGCTTATTTGTCACTTAGTATTTATTGCTCGTCATCTTGTTCAGTGTAGATCTCGGTGTCTGCCGTATCCTCTTGATCCATTTGTCCACGTGTCCGATTATCCGATTGTCTATCGGTCAATAATCAGTCGGACAGTCGATTGGTGGGCTAGCCACCAAGTCAGCACACCAGACAATCAGTCAGCCAGTCAGTCTATCAGATGTTGCATCAATCATTGGTCCGTCCCAGCCTACAATAGCATGACCGATTCACTGCGACTCAGTGCTACGTTGTCTTCACGACCGTTCTGCGTCGGTCACATTCAATCCGTACATTGTGTTGGTCAGACGACTCGATTTTCATGTAGGGTGATCCACACCACAACGTGGATGAGAATGCACATGTGTGGGGAGTGAGTGAGTTTATGGAGTGTTCGGTTTGGAGAATGTATGGAGTATGGATTGGTTAGAGAATTGAGCTGTATTTTGATGAAGAGATGGGTGCAATGTGTTGTTGGTGTTGATTTGTATCAGCGATCGGATGTGTGTGTTCGTGTGATTTTGTGAGTGAGTGAGTGATTCTGTGCGTGCATCTGTGTGTGATTGCATCACCGCCTGATTATCTGAATAGCTACACCAACCAACCACCCAACCACCCACCCACCCACATATTCATCCTAACGTCCGTCCGTTTGCTCAATCGTTCTTTCGCTTATTTGTCACTTAGTATTTATTGCTCGTCATCTTGTTCAGTGGAGATCTCGGTCTCTCCCATATCCACTTGATCCATTTGTCCACGTGTCCGATTATCCGATTGTCTATCGGTCAATAATCAGTCGGACAGTCGATTGGTGGGCTAGCCACCAAGTCAGCACACCAGACAATCAGTCAGCCAGTCAGTCTATCAGATGTTGCATCAATCATTGGTCCGTCCCAGCCTACAATAGCATGACCGATTCACTGCGACTCAGTGCTACGTTGTCTTCACGACCGTTCTGCGTCGGTCACATTCAATCCGTACATTGTGTTGGTCAGACGACTCGATTTTCATGTAGGGTGATCCACACCACAACGTGGATGAGAATGCACATGTGTGGGGAGTGAGTGAGTTTATGGAGTGTTCGGTTTGGAGAATGTATGGAGTATGGATTGGTTAGAGAATTGAGCTGTATTTTGATGAAGAGATGGGTGCAATGTGTTGTTGGTGTTGACTTGTATCAGCGATCGGATGTGTGTGTTCGTGTGATTTTGTGAGTGAGTGAGTGAGTGAGTGTGTGAGTGTGTGAGTGTGTGTGTGTGTGTAGTGTGAGTTTCTGTGTGTCGGTAGTAGTGGGCGTTTGTGTTTGTAGTAGCGGTGTGGAATGGTGGCATGGCTCCAGGACGGGGTGGCCGAGTGGTTAAGGCGATGGACTGCTAATCCATTGGGGTTTCCCCGCGTGGGTTCGAATCCCATCCCCGTCGAGTGTCGCTTTTACACACACGCCAGCTCACCGACTACACACTACACACCACACTGTGCAACATCACTCACACTCCCACTGCCTACCCGACTGACTCTCACCACCGGCTGTTCCCGAGTTCAAGTCGCATGGATATGATGATCGAGTCGGTTTGTACGCGACCGATCGAAATTCATCGTCGCCTCAACATACCTCACCATCGATAACATATCGCACGTCTCCTGTTGACACCACAACGCGATGACCTTTTACTGTGCTGAGTTTCAATAATGACAGCCGTTTTGTCACTGTTTTTTTAACTGTTGTTTTTAAGAATTTTTGCAAATACTATTATCATTTTCTTTTTATCTTTGATTGAATATTTATTACTTGTTTTATGACATTTGATTGTGCTTTTAGTTTTTCAGAAATTACACTTTTATATATCTTATGCTGTTTGACTATTTACCTTTTTATAAGATCACTTACCATAAATCATTCGTATAGCATTACCTAGGATGATACAGAAATCAGTCGATCGGTTGATAATTGGAATTTTCTGGCGATTGATCTTCGATATGATTGTTATCATCACATTATTCTTGATAATCTACATATAATATAAATCGGTATGTCATTGATATAATCTATATTGTCTGGAACATTCAGCCCCTTGTTACAACGTCTGTTAGAGAGCAGTAAGACCAAAAGTAGAAACTGATGGTCTGAAGGCACGGTCGTACTGATGACCTAGCACCTGCAGCAACACTGCCTGTCCACGACAGCAGAAGGGATCAGAAGAATTTGCCCATGAAAACAGTATATCTATACTTACGATACTGATTTTCGTCTCTAAAGGTAAGTGCACTAAAGCATAGAGTTGGCAAAATATGAACAACTCACAAAAAGGCCACGTGTGATCAGCGTCAAGTAATTATCACTTGAGTGATGTAGTCATGCTTCCAAATCGATAAAACTACTTCTCGCCCAATCCCCTTTTCAGGTCCCACAAGAGGGAGCATCCTTACACTGTGGGTAATTGGGAGATCACATACCACTAACACCACAGTAGATCACTTGATTGACGATTAAATCCTTTCTTCACCAACTAATATTTCTTCTGTTGCTATTGTCAACCATCCTCCTTTATCCTCATTCTCCACCAGTAGTACTGATTAAAGTTTACCAAATGTTATTCCTAGTCTCCTAAAACCGCGTTTCAAATCCAACTTAAAGATAAAAACTTTTCTTTCGTATCATTTTATCATAAACAATTAACAGATGAAGAGATCGTAATAAAAACAACAATGAATTCATTATATTCTATTCAAATTTTTGTTTTAGTTCTCCTTAAAAACAACTAGATCAATAAATTCATTGTAAACCTTAAACTCAATAATAGGAAATGAACAAATAGAGTACAAGAATTACTGATTTATTTTCTTGAATATTCGATAATCCTCCACTAAAATTATATATAATGTGAGTATATATAGTGTGAGTAGTGACAGTGTGAATAATAGTATTAGTAGTAGGAGTAGTAATAATAGTAATAGAAGTGGAGAACATTACATTTTACTTCATTTCATTTGAACTATTGAATTGTAGTAAGTAATGCGATTGTATTGTGTTTTGATTTTTTTTTCTTTCTGTAATAATGCATACATCTACACAATTCAGTGTAGTGTTATTCCGGGTAAACTACATGCATTGATTTCTGACATTGAATAGTAATATAATCTATTAGGTTGCGGATAGAGTAAGAATATTTTAAAACAAAAAGATAAAAATATATGTATAAAATGAGGGTTCTTTTTCAGAAGTTTTACAACACTGATTATTATTATTATTATATCATAACTTAATAATTAATGAATCATTACTAAAGCCACTGATGACAATCTCATGCGACAGTTCTTAACTGATAGGTCCTCGGTTCGAATTCCGCGAGGCGGGGTCGTGGATGCGCACAGCTGAGGAGTCCCTTAATAGGACGAAACGGCCTTTCAGTGTTTCCATGTTTTCCATGGTGGTCTAGTTTCATGAACTCAACTATTGACATTTTCAAAATATTCATTTAAATTCTAAATGTCTATAAAACATCATTTAGTCGACTTGTCAAATAATTGGTGAATGAAAAAACAGTTGTCGTGAATTCTCATAATCAATAGAATTTGATCAGCATTAGAAATAAAACAGTATACAGCATTGTTTATAATAGAAAATGGTCAACTAATGCAAACAACTTAGTTTTATAAATGGTCATTGGTAACCTGAATGGTGTAAAATGATCACATCTTTAACTAAAGCATTGAGTAAGCATGGGTTTGAATTCTTAGTCTCTCCAGCATTGTAAACATCCTTAAAAGACAATGGACAATTGACATCTAGAACTTCTTAACTGAACACATTCAACCAAAGAAATAATCTCTTTTTAAAATTAAATTTGCTCTATGTATTAAGTGTTGTGAGTAAACAGTCAATAACTAGGGGTATATATATCTTCTTTATGATTAGTCTATCAACTTTATATTCACATCATTGACAAATTACTTTCATAATCAAATTTAAAACCAAGTTCCTAATTAGACAGTTTCGCCTTACTGTGGGACTCTTCGGCAGTGCGCACCCATGATCCCGCCCGCGGGATTCGAACCAAGGCCACTCAGTCAAGCGCACGGACCATTGAGCCGGCATCCAATGGTGTTAGTGTCTAACATGAACCGATCCACGAAATTGCGCGACCATCTTCCATTGTACTAAGGTAGATACTTGTCTTCGCCCGACACGGATTAGCTCCACTGGTCATGGCTTCTCACCAGAACTCCAAGAATCCCCTCACGAAGCTAGTCACTAGTGAGTACACATGTTAATTGTCAGTATAGGGGTTGTGGAGATTATTAAGTTTTTGATCGTGGATGCGCACTGCTGAGGAGTCCCACAATATGTCGAAACGACCTTCCAGTTCTTCCGGGTTTCCAACGGTGGTCTAACATCAATCGGTCCATGATCTCAATCAAAAATCAGATGAATGTGTAGTAATTGGCGACAACTAGAAAGGGTAGCCCAGGACAGCGTAGGCTGGAGACTCCTGGTCGGCGGACTATGTTCTACTAAAGGTAATAGGCATAAGTAAATAAGCAACACAGCGTGATGATTTACAGTAGCCAAGTCTGGAATTATCCTTATTGGCGTGGGTGAAATGTCAACACTACTGATGCCCTTACAGAATCCAATCGGCTCACAATATAACACAACTATCAGTTGTCTCATAGTCTAACTTATAATAAAGTTCAGTATTTACGATTTCCATCTTTCTTCAAACAGGCCAGTAATGGTTAGTGAATCATTATCTTTTCATTCAAGTGAAGTAAAGTGATGTGGAACAAGTATTACAGTAAAACCATGTCTTAAATGTAAGAGAAACAGTACGTGAAGCAGATATACTACTAACAAATAGTAAGTAACACATTTTGATTAAAAATAAAACGAACGATGCATTTTAAAACCAAGATGTTACAAAATGATACATTGGAAACATTTTTATACACAATGCTTGTAAAAAAGAATCAAATGTGAATCGTGAAATCAGGCCTCTCATAAGGATTGCATCAGTCATATCCAACATAGAACTAAGTACATACGAGCGACATTTCGACTTGTCACACCACATCAGAACAATGAGATGCCAGAATTGTATCAGTATTAATAGTATCAGTGGTAGTAGAAAATATTTGGCTAAGGCAACAAGTAATGACTTCGTGAAGTAGTAAGTGTAAGATAGTTTAAAAACTTAGGATAAAAAGGGATAAAAATATAGAATACATGTGAACCACTGCAACAGATTCTCAGATGTGTGAGCCAAAGTCTGTAACCATTAATAATAAATATATTTTTTTATTATATCCCAATGAGTAGAAAGTTGTATTTCTGACGTTTCATAAATTAATGAAAGCCGCTTGTTTAGGGTAAATGTAGAATATTTTTAATGCTATCAAAATCATATTAGGTCTGAATATGTCCTAAATATATGAATATATGCTAAAAATAATTTGCATTGTTTCCTTTATACTATTCAAACTTGTGTTAATTTAATTTGGTTATTCATTCACTCTAAAGAAGAGACTAACAAGGAATCAAGTAAAGTCAGGAATCCAAATTTCTACTTATTGGGATATCACGAAGATATAATCATTTTATTGTTATTGTTATTATTAACTTTCTACCCAATACCCAATTTTTCGTTGAAACTATCAAGTCCAATCTTGACATTGATACCTACAATCTTTAACCATTAGTTATAACAATCAAAGAGATCCCAACCAGATAAGTATTCACTAACAGATATGGCATCATTCAATGACTTCATCGTTTTCTTTCAATCTACTGTCACACGAGGCATAGTTAAGTGTCAAGATATCAAACCTATCATTATCAATCTAACATAAATGAATAAAAATAGAGTATTTCTGATTAAATTTTAATTCATTTTACTTACTATATTTTTGTATAAATAAATTTGATTTCTGTTTCCATCCTATACCAAGTAAATAAATTGGTATACCAGATAAAACTATAATCATACCAATAAATAATTCATTCGGTCTATGAAATATTGGAAGAATTAACAAGAAACTACAAACAATTAAGAATGTAATAGGAATTATTAATGGTAGACGAATAGGTCTGGGAATATCAGGTTGACTACGACGAAGATATAACATTGCTAGAAATGTAAAAATAAGAAAAAAAGATTTTTTTTTAAAATTGATGGATACATTACATAAGAACAATATTTATTCAAACAGACTATTTGGATTAAGTTATCATTTGTAGAATATTAAAAAAAAGAAATGTGATGACTATATAATAGGATGAAACTTCTATTCGAGATTCTACAATTGATTATCTACTAAATATGACTAAGAAATCTGTTTACTTCTTTTTAACAAAGAAACAAAATCAGTTTTGCATTCATGGAAATTAAAGATCTATATATGGTAGATCTTTTCATTCAGTATGTAGGTCATTTATGATTGATCCGGTTGTTGTTTTATAGTTCTTAATATAAATAAATCAGGATATCTGTAATATCCCAGTGAGTAGGAAAATTAGATTTTCTAACGTTTCGTAACTCGGTGTAAGCTATTTCTTCAGAGAATAAGTAACCAGATTCGGTTATTCATTCTCTGAAGAAGTGACTTACACTGAGTTACGAAACGTCAGAACACCTAATTTTTCAACTCATTTGGAGATTACAGATATCTTAATTTACCTATAACCATTTATCCAATGTTCAATTTATTCAAAATTATCAAGTCAAACCTTGTTAATGATATCTACATAGTTTTTTAATAGGTTAGACATTACCATTCAATTTTGTATTCTTACATAAATCAAAAACATTTTCTATTGATTGATCTTTTAACCATTCAATTGAATATTTTCATATCCTTTTTTGTCAGAAACATAACTCTCATTTATTTAAAGTTAATACTGTGTTGAGTACTTTTTCTTTTCTAAGAATGTAGTTCTTTTTTGAATATAAAGATCATGAATAACTAACTAAATTAAAGGAGGAAATTTGTTTGTTTGTTTGTTTTGAGATAAAACAATCTCTAACAGTATGTGAACATAATTTATACCGTTTTTGATTAAGATTATGAATCGATTGATGTTAGACTATCATTGTTTCTAGGTTTTTCAATGGTAATCTAACATTAATCGGTTCATGATGTCAATTCAAAAACTTAATCATCTTCACAACTCTATATTGATAATTTGTTCAATTAAATTTTTGCTTAGTCGTTAGATTTTCTTCATAATAAAACAAGTAACTAGTCAAATTGTATTTTTCAAAAATTACAATACTGATTCAGTCTAACTTTATTGCAGCCTATATTGTGTTTTTGGCTATTCATAAACAATAAATATTGGAATTTCTTTATAGACCCTAGAATGGTACCTTAGTATTTATTCATTTACATATTGATTAAAATTTTTTGGCGAGACTATAATTTATGGACGACCTTTGAACGAATCTTAAGTGACCTTGTGAAATAGCCAATCAGAAAACAGCTAGTATAAAGTAAAGATATTTTATATAACGCTAAAGAATTAAAGTGGATACACATTTTTTTTACATGGTTCAAAAACTTGTCAAGGTTAGAAAGAGGTTCAGAGGTTCTTCCTCCAACATAAATAACATCGAAAGACGAGCACATCACGGTAGTTTGCACACGCTACAGTAACCATTTAATTACCGCAGTCACAAATAAAAGAACTTCTTAATAATTTGTTGTAATCACTCAGTTATCAAGTCTTTACTAAAATCCGCCGTAAACCGATACTAAACCATTGGTCGAGCATCAATCGGTTCATGATCTCAATCAAAAACTAATGATATTATTCTTGGAAAATATTAATTAGTTTATAGGTTTTTTTAAGAAATTGATTTACATTTTAGGTTCCATTTGAAATTGTAGACGAAGGAGTATAGAACAACTGTTTGTCCCAGTGTAGAACTTCATGACAGTATTAACCCAAGACCCCACCAGGGGTCGAACCCAGATATATATATGTATATATACAAAGAGAGAGTTATACTGTCTACCAGGCAATAATGCAATGTCTACTAATTTATAAATAATTTACAAAATGTTATACAGTAGATAGGTAAAGTCACTGTTTATCCAAATAATCAGTATTAATAGTTCATAACTAATAATCCAGTTTATTTACATTATTTATACATTTTAAAAAAAATATTTTAAACATCGACCATAGATAAATTTAAAACAAACAACATGTATAAATTCATTTGGTGTTGTTTACTAGTATCTTCCTATTGTTACTTAGGATTGCAATTGATCAGTCTCTTATTAGCATATGTACATACTGTGCGTATTGCTTCGATAAAGCCTTAATTCACAAGGATTATATGCAAAGGTGGATAATGGCTGGTAGTGGAATGGGCGATGCGCATTTCGTCCCATGTGTAACTCCCTGGGACTCAAACTCTGTACCGCTTGCTTCAGTAATCCATCTTTGTATATAAAACACCATGTATAATTCATTTTTGTATTATTTGTGTTGAATCCTAACTAGAATGAAACTTTCATCCTTTATTCCACTACTAGTTACCATCTATGTTATATTAGAAAATTAATCATTCTATACATTACCAACATAGTCAATGAATGAATTAATTAAATAATAATTAAATATAATTATATAATTAATAAAACATCATACCAAATATACTAGCAGCAACAGATAACCATTGAACAAATGATACATAATTAATCAATGTAAATAAATCTGATACAATAAGCATTATTAAACTTAAAATACAATTTAATAATATAGCTGGTACTGGTGTTAAGTGTTCAACATGTATTGTTGCTAACAATGTAGGCAATTGACCTTCTCTAGCTGCAACGAAATTCAATCTAAACAATTTTCAAAAATGAAAAAACACAGTAAAATTGAGGAGTTAGTGGGGGGTTTCTTTCAACAACGAAAAAATATCAAAGTCTCTTTATTTATCTGCCATCTTTTTTTCAATATTCATGTAACGTGTTACATTCAACAGCTTATTGAATAAGTATTTAACTGTATATAATGAGGTGTAATCTTGATTAGATTGTAACATTTAGTAATAGATATTTTTTTAATACTTGAGATCATGAGTCGATGGAAACTAGACCACCCTGAAAAACCTGGAAGCACTAGACGTCCGTTTCGTTCTAGTAAGGGAATCCTCAGCAGCGCTCCTCCACGATCCCGCCTCACACGATTCGAACTCAGGGCCTATCGGTCTCGCGCGCGAACGCCTTACCTCTAGACGACTGACCTGGCCGCCATCCAACGGTGATAATGTCTAACTTCAACTAATCCACGAGATTGAGCGACACATTCACCATTGTCTTCAGTGAGTTACTATCTCACAATAGACCTGGTTGAACTCCACTGGTCACTGCTTCTCACTAAAACTCCAGGAAATATCTCTTGAAGCCAGTCACTAGTGAGCATAAGTTAATTAACATCACAGGGGGATTTTGTGGATTTTATAATTATTTCAATATTTGGATCATGAGTCAATTGAAGAACACCATGAAAAACCTGGAAGAACTGGATAGCCATCTCGTCCTATATATCATGCCTTCGTAGATTATTAATTCAATATTTGAATAGACCAATTCAACTTTTTTTTCTTCAGATATTGTCCATATTTGACCACGTTCGTTATTCGCTAGTAATCGTGGTTGTTTATATATGAGTACGTATATATATATATATATATATATATATATATATATATATATATATATATATATATATATTTGTCACTTACTCTCTTGATTATATATTGTTAATTTGTTTTCCCATATGACTAGAAATATTGATTCATGAATGATAAAAATGAGTTGACACGTTTACTTTCTTCGATCAGATTCTTTCCTCTTATTGTGTGTCTATATTTAATCGATGTAAGATATGTATATATGTCCAAAAATCATTTACATATTTGATTTATTTTATTCCGTTATTCACCAACGTCGAGTTAAATTCATGAATGTGTACGAGGTTAAATAGGATAGATGAATCTTGTTAATACCATTTTATTATCAGAAGGGGTTTTGTGAAGATTTTAGTAAATTTATAGTTGAATTCATGAGTCGATTGAAGCTAGACCACCATGGAAAACCTCGAAGCACTGAACGATTGTTTCGTCCCAGTATGGGACTCCTCATCAGGGTGCATCTACTATCCCGCCCCACGAGATTCGAATCTAGAACCACTTTAGTACGATCATATAAAGTTAAATAACAGTCCTATAAGAGCATTCATTTCACCTTTCTACCTTTCAATAAGTTTATATTTCTCATCTTACATATTGTGTTGCTCTACACTGACATATTTATAGCACATAATTATAGATTGTTTTATTTGATTGAAATGAAAATTTTAATGGGAATTACATTCTAATTTACATTACTCATTGACTAAATGAACGGAAGAAAAAATAATGGAAAGTACTGAATATATAATACATTACTGGAACATTATAAATAAGACAGACAACTTCAGTCAAAATGAGGGATAATAGAATTTCCTCTTTAAATAATATCGATTTTTGTAAAAAAAGAAAAATCATGATCATAACTGTAAATCTCAGAAGTTAAGATTCGAGTTACTTTATAATTGATTGATTGATTGATGATTCAATAAAGTTATTAATGAATTAAAAACTTCTTGAACTTTAAATACTATATGAATTCAACGATTAAGTCATGATAGTATTCACTAAATGGGTAATATTTAAGATAGTAAAACGTTCAAACATTTGGACAATTAATAGACTGAGCGAGTTTATACATACTGTGGTGTGTGCTACTGATGTCGACAAATATAAGTAGTATGTATCATCAATCGAAAGAGAAATACCTGATGGCAAAAGGTTAAGACGATTAAAAAAAAGAGAATGAGAACAAAGAATGGTTGGTGTGGAAATTAGAGAACAATGAAGTCTGAGGCGATCAACTCATATTTACAAAAGGAACAGTCAAGTTTGAGACATTGACATTTTGCAAATTAAGTATTTACTGTAAGGTTCTCAAATTTTACTAAGATTTTCTGTAATTCTGTATTCGAATACAGTTGATTGTCCCCATTTGTGTTCTCGTTCTCTACAATACTGAATATGTGTGTATACATGCCTCTCAAGGCAAAACATTAGGTGAGAGACTATAAATAAAGCATATTGTTGAAATAAACCGACTATGCACTCAGTCATTGTCCCAGCATACATTTCTTTGCCTACGTCACAGGACAAGTATATGTATACATATATGCCTATGAATTTTGTATGTTACGATTCATTTTGCCAGTTATAAGTACTTAGTAATTTCACAGTTCCCCGTACGCGTTTTCGGTTGAGACAAGTGTCTAAATCGGATGATTGCATAATGTGAAACAAATTTGATTACCATTATAATTAGTTAGATTGTAATTTCCTTATTCACTACAGAAGGATATTTATATATAATTTTTATGTCCTCCATTTGAATACGGCAGATACGATATACAACTAACCGTACTCGAACGTGTAGAACCCCACAGTCGCATATGAAAAAAAAGAAGCAAAGGAAGCGATTATTGGGTAATAGTTAAAAATTTACAGAAAAACAGGGATATTTATAGTTTTTACTATTGTCTATAACATCACTGTAACCCAGTCAATCCTCAGGTGGAAAAGTTATACAATTGTCCAGTCATAGCATGCCATATCGATGTTCTAGGGCGTTCTACCAGGTTTTGATTGGATGGATTCTTTCCGGCTTCTTTAGAGCTTCTGAAGGCCTCATTCTGCTTTACGAGGCCGTCCCAACAGAATTAATTTAAAAATCCCCCGAAATACCATAGCAATGAGTAATAATAATAGTAGACAGTCCACATAAGATGCAAAACAGTTTGTCAGAATTCCATAGTCAGATGTTTTAGCAAAGTCGTATTGTAGTTAGCTACAAGTTTCAAATCTTTTACTCAAATCGATATCCATTGGAGAAATAATTAAAGCTTGAGGGATGTTTAGTAGTCGCTTTTTACCTAATTGTGATCAACAGTGCGCATATATGGCTTAATGTTGAGTTCAGAGTCTCTTTAAATTTCCCAGAAAACAACTTGATATTTAATCTCTTAGTAAGAATTGTTTGTTTTCTTCTCCGAAATTAAGTCACTTCAAGACATTTTTAATATTATTATCGTAAACTCATTACGGGATGTAGATATGTATGCTTGGGTTCAAGCTAAACTTTTAATGTGAGGGCTACTTATACAACCTGGATACCTCGACCGAAGTAGTTGAAGTAAGGGATCAAATCTGTGATTTTTCGACTTAATGTCAAACATCACCACTTCGGGTTATATACTAGAACAATCATCTAAACGTCATCAGATTATATTGATTCTCGATTCTAACCTACTTGAATTGTTAAGTAATGTTTCCTTATTGAAGCATAAATTGATAAAAATGCAACTATGAAAGGTTCCATAATAAAGGGAAATAGTCTTCCGGTAATTCATGAAGTTGATGTCAGTTCGAGGCGGAAGTTTATTTTCAACTTAAATATAGAATGTACTACACAACTGATTATGTTGATGCGTCCAAGTTATACTCATTAAGGAATAACTGGACGATTAATAAATTCTTGAATTTTTTTGCTGAAGATTCACAGAAATTTAAGTTTCTGAAAACCAAGGAGAAGCAAAATAAAATTCTGTCTCTACCATATGGTTTACGTGACACTACCTACTACTGGTACTCAATTTTAACCACTTGAGATATTTCTGAATTAAGATGACCAGTATACAGGTTGCTACTACACCAATGTATCCGTGTGTGCGAGTATGTGTACCAATTCAAATTCAGCCATTCAACATTGATTCCGAGTATGGAATCCAGTCCAACGATCGAGGTAAGTTTAAAAAGAATGAGTTTGTCTTAAAGTATGGGGTTCTATGATACGATTTACAATCTACGGAAAATATCACCGAATAGAAAGCAAGTGCATTTGAGGCTTTAATTCAAAATTGGATGTAGGCAAGTCAGACAAAAATAATGAAATCAGTTACAAATATTGGCAAACAAATTTACTATGAAGAGGATGAAATACAAAGACAAATAAAACAGTAAGTAAACAACAGGTTTAATGAAAAGCTGGAACCAAGAATTACAAAACCTTTGTAATGTATATGTACTACTTACTAATACTTAGTGGTATAAATCGTATGATAAAGAGTAGACGAATTAGAAATGAAGCTTTGGAATGAACAGGTCCAACACTCGGATCATTGTCATATTTACAAAAATAACGGGATTGTGATAAATCATTCCGAAGAACCTAGAATTTCGTGCAGCTTAAATAGGCCTTAATTTTCGGATTATGAAAGTTGAGATTTAAGATATGGATTACTGATAAGTGCCCCCAAATGCCCTGGTATGGCCGAGAGTGGGGTGGGCCCGCCCTCCCTCTCCAAATGCTCTCATATGGCCACGCGTATACAGTCTCTGCCAGGGAAGTCCTACTCACTGCCTTCTCGTAGCGAGGGTGTTGTTTACAAAAATGAGAGGACGAAAAGCGAACGTCCGGCGCTTTAACCGGATCCCAAACCAATGGTGCATATGGGCTCCAGTATCCTGAAAGAACAAATGGCGTATGAATCAATCGTTGGTCACCGGCTACCATGAGGATGCATCTCCTCACGATGCTCTACTGCCTTGTGGGTCAGACCTTTAGATCAAAGGCTCGGGGTGTGGCTCTCTAAGAAAACCACCTGCTTCGGTCTGGGCACCCGGGCAGTATCACAGCCTACACACACACAAATATGGTGTGGCGCATATATACTTGGTGCCCTCTTGTACCAATATTTATGTGTTGAAATAAATAAAATAATTACTGATAATTCTGCTAAAAATGAACACAGGATACAGTTTCCTAGTCGCTTGCTAATAATCAAGGACCTAATCTATGTGGTAATCTATATATAGAAGAAGAGATGAGAAGTATGGAATCAACGCTTTACTTAAAGGTTCAGTTTATATACAGGAAAACGAGGGTATTTACAAACTTTTACTCGATCTTATGTTTCTTGGAATTTTCGGAGCATAATAAATATGGTAGCAGTGTAGGTTAATGCCCAGTCGAAACAGTGGTATATGATATTGTAGTTTATAGACGTTTCTGTGGAGATTCTATTCAACACTGACTTGATAAATTGTTTCCTTTAATTTCCATGCCCCTATGAATATTTTGATGAGGGATATTTTCAGGACTCCTCCATGAATTATGTTTTATGATTAGTTTATAGGCACTCACTTCTTAAGTCTAAAATCCTACAATCTCAACCTAAACTCTACATCTTAAACCTTAAATCCTATTCCTAACATCAATCTCAAGTAAATAATTATCTTTACGTCATTAAAACTAATCATCTACGCTCTATAAATTACACTTTGTTTTGATCCACGTTCTGTAAGCTTAAACAACTTACTCGTTCCATTTTGGTTGCCTTTTATAAATCACCGTTACCATGGTTAAAGTTTACTTGAAAGCATGTATTTTGTACATGTCATCTCCTAGAGACCGAATACAAAGTAGACGGGTACTAAATGAGCATTTGTTAATTATTAACGAAGACTCATCCTGCTGATGAGTGCCAAATAGGATGAAAGTGACTTCTAAGTTCGCTAATGGCCACCATTCATCTCCGTTTATAATGCTTGTGATTTAGGGCAATCCGCAAAGGATACACATATGCCAATAAGAGACTGATCAACTGAAGTCCTAAACATTATTGGGAAGATTCAAACAACCACTACAAAGAAGATTCATTCTATATTACAATTCTAGAAGAGAAAGAGTCTTTTTCACTAAAAGTTGGATCATGGATAGTTTCATTACCAATTTGATTTATTAGAACAACTAACCTGCCTGATGTGAATAAAATTCCGTTTAAACCACCAAAACATGATAATGAAATGAATATTGACATTATCCATGAGAACTTTCCGTATAAACGATCAGCAAATGTCTTGAAAGTATTTATATAACAAACAAAAAACAAAAGAAAAAAACAGGATTATGATAACATATACTACTTGTTAGTTAGTATACAGTAGTTTTATACATCCTAATTACTCGCATTTTTACGCTGGTGTTTCCAAAGCACCGTAGCTTTGATTTACTAGTGAATGAAGACGGACATACACTTCATACTTCAAATGTAGTTGACTAATTTAAATATTGAAATAGACTTCATTCAAGTTTGTATTTACATCAAAAAAAATTTGTTTTGGATATTAACAATCCAATCCCTGATTAAATGGTCGAATGTGTTGTGGTGCGTGCTACTTATATTGATATAAGTGGTATATGACGCGAGTCAGGGATGTAATGTCTGGGAGCAGAAGATGGGGAAGATCAAGAAAGGAAGAACGGGAATAGAAAGCAGTTAGTATGGAAATGCAAGAACAACGAAGTTCGAGACAATTATTGAACATTTTGCAAATTAAGTATTATAGTATGATTTTTCTATTTTACCAAGTAACTCTGTAATTTTATGCTAAATATAATTCGGTTGTCCTCACCTGTGTTCTCCTTCACTACAGTATGTCTGTGATCGAGTGATTTATTATGTTCCAAATAATTCCATGTTCCCTCATTTTTTTTGTATTCTGTTGATACTTCAGTATAAAAACAATCTATATGAACAGGGGATAAGTTTTATTGTGTTTTTGGTTTCTATGTAAACTATTCTCTGAAAAAAATCTTGTGTAATTCATTAAACGAATATGATTCCTAATAAAACAATCATTATAATTACTGATCCATCGGTTAAGCAGAATTAAGATCGATTTTTAGCTTCGTTTTTTGGGGGGGGCAAAAACTGACAACAAATAGCTTTCTAATATCTTCATAGCCTACATATCTTTGTTTGAGTCAACTGAACAAATGTATATAGGATTATAATTTGCTTAAAGTTTAATTCAGTTTTGATAACTACACCTTTTATCATCACTTTGGTCTTCTTATTTGAATAGTGGATTAAATTGAATGTGGAAAGTATACATTGTATTTGATTTGAACCTCAGAATACAACACTTTCAATCTATGAGGAGATTTGTACAAAGTTCCTACATGCTATAATCAAAACGTTTAATGATATGAAAAAGTTTAATATGTGAATTATTCACTACTTAGTGGAGAAAATAAAGTATGGAAACAAGAAAACATTTGGATATAGATACTTTTTAAAATATAAATGAATAGGAATTTAATCTTTTTCAACTTGTTTTATCTAAACTCCAATTTAAAGCATGTGTCTGTGTGTACAAATTGTTTCATCAGATTTTCAAGGAGTCTGTATGTTATAACTTGTGACCGCCAGTGAATTATCGATCGGACCATGGACGCGTAAAACACGTGCGAACAGTCTAGAGTCCTGATTGGTCCTGCTTTCCGCCTAGCTCAGCCAGTTAAGTCCAGAACACCAGTCTCAGCCTCTGCAATATGAATCATTATATTTCAAACATGCTGAGTTTATATACGCATCAAACAGACCACAACGTACCAATAAAATATGAAACAACATTTGTACAAGAATTAGCTAAATGTGGCTGTGAGTGACGGAGGTAGTAATTAATATACCGGTTATAACTCAAGAATGGTAAAACGTATAATAATAGTTTATGGGTCACAATAAAGCTTATAATAAGAGGAATATGAATATGCATAGTTTAGTTACTTAATAATTATACAATAGAAATATACGTTTAGTATTGGTCCATCTATAGATCCCAAAAGTTACCATTCATTATTCTTGTCGGGAAATAACACTGTACATAAATGTTGTCTGAAAAAAACACTACAAGAAGTAGTTTCTAAAACTATTTATAAACTCAATGAACTATCCTTACATATATTAATCTCTCTAATGAATAGGTCTTTTGTAGTAAAACACAATCTATTTCAAGATAAAAACCTACGAATCTGTTACTGGAACGATTACTACTGACTTACCAGTCACTTGCTATAACCAAAAACTATTTTTACAAGTCAACTTGAATAACAGAATAAAAGGAGAGAAATATGAGTAACAGTTTTACTCCAAGGTTAGTGTATACACAGAAAATTGAGTGGACTTATCGAGTTTCATGTGATCTTTGTCTTCAAAGGCTTTTAGAAACATATTAAAGATAGTAACAGTTAAGTTAATCGTCCAATCAAAAGCATGACACGTTATCTTTTATTATCTAAATGTTTCTGAGAAGCTTCTGTTCAACGGTGACTGGATAAAATGTTAACAGGGATTTTCTATATCTCTGGGGTCTTTGACGATCGTAAATCTTAAAAATCTCATAAGCTACTTAAAAACCATCATATAAATTGTCGTTTGACTAACTTCCTAGAAAACTTTTCGTGCTTACTGTTGACAGTCTATGTTGATACGGATTAACAGCAATCCATAAACATTTCAAGGTCGTTTCTTTGGTTGTTACCTTGGATCTTTCACCTAATCTCCTTTTCAGAATACTCAATTACTTGTAGGATGAAACAGAAGTAAGCTATTTTAGTGACTTCACACAGAAAAACAAGCGATTGGATTTAATGTTTACAGCACACCATATGACAATTAATAAGATCATTATTTTTGGTTTAACAAGGGAAGAGAATATAAAAGTTTTAAGGTGTATTCAAAAATCACAATTTAAAGGAACAAGGATAGTCATTCCCTAAGTTTAAATTTGCGAACAGTTAGTGTTTTTTTAACGAGTTAGTTTTCTACGAGATGGGGTGGCTAACCCCATGAGGAAATAGTAAACAACAGAAATTTGACAATAGTTACGTAAGAGTTGATTATCATCACGATTAATTTTTTGTCAATCTGTACCAAGTTTGTCTGAAAGATCAACTGGCTTATTGCTGAATGATATTATTAGTGAATGGGATTTGATGTTTCAACATCAAAGTGACATATTTCAAAGTCTATAGAGCATCTGTTTGTATGTTGTTATTTTATACACCAGATATTCTGGACTACTTACGTATTCCTAATGGACTTGAATTTTTGATTCAGTGGGCTAATCAGAAATCGTCAAATAAGAAGGCCATGTTTTGTAAATCAGAAATCTCGTAATGATAAGTACATGTGATTGGTATATAAATAGAGTATGTTTGAAATACAATGATTCATAACTCCGAGGCTGTGACTTGTGTTCTTCACTCAACTGGGCTAGGACGGACAGCGAAGCAGGGCCAATCAGGGCACTAGGTCGTCCGTACGTGTTTTCCGTGTCACTGTCACAGATCGCGATCGATAAATAACGCTGCTTATCAAAAACCTGCAGTCACACTCGTTACAACATAAATAAACAATATGACTAAGGAAATTATTATCTCAATTCTATTATAAATAAGTAAGTAATATAGTTGTAATATCTCAATGAGTAGAAAAATTAGATGTTCTGACGTTTCGTGACTTAGTGTAAGCCAGTTCTTCAGAGTATAAATAAATAACCAAATCAAAATTAATCCGAGTTTAAATAGTACAAAGGGAACAACAAGGATATTATATGATCAATCGAAAAACAGGTCTGAATGAATCAATGTCATGTCATTTCGGTCAAGGTGATTCATAAGCGACATGTATGTAAATTTGTGCACTGTTAAGAGTGAAAAATGTGTGACCTTTATAGTGAGAAAGGATAGAGTTTAATTTGTAAGATAATAGTGTGAATTGTGAATAATATCAGACTAGGTGGCTGGGACAGATAGTCCAAGCAGGATGTATAGTAAGGTCTTCTTTTCTATTAAGAGCAGTAGGATTAAGTATTATATGGAACGTTTCACCTACTCTCCTTTCTTTATCATTGAAAAAGCCTTTTTGTAATATTTTGATATTTTTAACGTCGATTTGGTAATCGTTGAAAATGATGTAAACTGCTATTGCTGATTTCATTTGGAGTCTATCCAGTTCTACGGGATTATTAGGAGGTCTTTTTTTGTGTACCTAATATGTTCTTTGGCATGAGTCAAGATTTCACGAGTTAACTCTCCAATATAGAAGGCATCACAATCAACACAACCTAATTTATAGACGCAGTTCTATGTTGACATTTCAATTCTATTACTTATATAAATATACCATTTTAACTCAATAATATCAAATATTAATATTTTAAATAAAAGAATAAAACAACACATTGACATCATACCACAGCTACTGCATTCGATTGAATAATTTCATACGGTAGAAGTACAATGAAATATGCCATATTTGTTAATACATAAACAAATGTCACTATTGTAATACTAATATAAATAGATCGTGGTAAATTTCTAGGTAAAAACAAAAATGAAATATAATAGAATAAGAATCATATATAACACATAATTAAAACATGTCATAAGATTGATCTTAACTCGGCTTTTGTGGTATTGTACAAGAGTGCAAAATGGCATATACTAAGGTTTATTGAAGCCTTAGCCATATGAAAATTCAAACCCCCTTTGTATATTCAAAATCAATTGATTCTCACCTTAAATATACCCTGACAATTCACTTGGTATTGTTTACCTGATTCTTCATTCCATTACGCAAACAAATGGCTATCAGGACTCAGTAGTTAAATGGATAATGGCATTTGAAGCGAATGGTACTGGGTTCGAGTCCTAGAGTGAATATCAACTCTGAGATGCAGGTACATCCAGCTGGCGAGTCCCAAATAGGATTAAATGCGCGTCAAACGTGATTCCACTATTCATCTTTGCTTATAATACCCTTGTAATATTAGCTTATTATCTAGAGTGATGAGGTTTCAAATTGTTTTCACATTATTTATTTATCATCCTTGTCTCTTCTTACTCTTCCTTTCTAGTGTAGTTGATCATTTATTTTTATATATAAAAATGTTCTTGACAAGTATATTATATGGGGTCAGATTGTTCGAAATGTATTGCATCAAATTAGTTCTGATAATCTTCGTCTTCTTATTACACTATCGAAACTGATCAAGTCGGACTAATTGCTTTAAATTTGTATTTGATGGTTTATTTTCTTTCAACAATTTGATAACTACAAATTATTAAAAATTTTTAATATATTTCTAAGATTTATTATTTATTATTATCATCTGCTCACTAGTGACTGACTTCAAGAGATACTCCTAGAGTTCTAGTGAGAAGCCGTTACCAGTGGAGTTCAACCAGGTCTGTTATGAGATATAAGCTCACTGAAGACAATGATGTACGGTGGCGCAATTTCGTGGATTAGCTGAAGTTAGACATTAACACCGTCGGATTCAGGCCAGCTCAGTTGTCTAGAGTTTAAGCGCTCGCGCGCGAGACTGATAGGTCCTGGGTTCGAATCTCGAGGGGGGCGGAAGCGTGGATGCGCGCTGCTGAGGAGTCCCGTACTGGGATGAAACGGTCGCCCAGTGCTTCCAGGTTTTCCATCGTGGTCTAGCTTCAATTGACTCATGATTTCAACTGTTGCAATTACTAAAATCTTCACAAAACCCCTTCTGATTTATTATTTAAATCATGGGATAACCTTAGATAGATAACTCTTTAAAATTAAGAAACAGTATGATATATTAGAATGAACATTAAAGTAATGATAACTTTCAAAAGTACTTCATAAACTATTAATTGTATAATTGTTAAATAACTGGACTACCATGTTTTTCTTTACATTCAGTTTGTTGTAAGCTCTCGTTTGACTCATTAACTATTACAATATGCTTTATCATTCTTAATTTATTGATAATCAATCATCTACTGATTGACCGGTTCACTGACAGTTTTAGCCTGCATTATATATCACCACGATTTTCTATTGCATGATGCAATGTGGTCCAGTTTGTCTGGACGTATGCTTGGAATATACAATAATAGAAGCTTAACTGCAATCTTCTATTCCATAATCTGGATAAAAGAAGGAGCACAAATCGGTGGTCCAATAGAAATGAAGCTTACATTAGCTTAATGATAATTATGTCGATCAAAACGCATCATTGGTCAAGGCTAAAGATGCTAGGCTATAGATGGAATAGAAAGCATGGAGTAGAAAAAATGATACATAGAATTCTGGTTGATGACCTTAGAAAGAGAATTATTGATTAACATCTCAAGCATTACACAATAGGTAGCTGTTTCGTCCTACTAGGGGAAACTTCACCGGTGTTCATCCACGGCCCTACTAGAGGTCGAACCAATGACCTGTAGGTATCGTAACTTATGCTTAACATTTAGATCAATGTGTCGGTATCTAATCACTTATATTATGGGGACTAATTTGATGTGAAGATGGATAATGATCGTACTTTATTGTAAATTGATAGAAGTTAGTACTGTAAACCAGAATACTTGAACTCAGTGATCTAAAGTCAACGCTACCAATATAAGGCCTCAGAGTTTGATATTTAATCCTTGATAATGTCATAAGTATTGCCTGTTAAAAAGTTCTAAACTAGGATAAAACAAATTTCCAATCTTCTTTGATACTTTATAATCTACTCAGCTGATCGCATTTCATAACAAAAATAGTCATTTTCTCACTTATAAAATTTAGAGACAGCTTATTCACAATCGGTTCATGATCTCAATCAAAAACTTAATAATCTCCACAACCTCTATACTGATAATCAACATGTGCTCACTAGTGACTAGCTTCGCGAGGGGATTCTCGGAGTTCTAGTGAGAAGCCGTGACCAGTGGAACTAGTCCATGTCGGGTGGAGACAGGTACCTACCTCAGTACAATGAGAGATGGTCGCGCAATTTCGCGAATCGTTTCATGTTAGACACCATTGGATGCCGGCTCAATGGTCCGTGCGCTTGACTGAGTGCCCTTGGTTCGAATCCCGCGGGCGGGATCATGGATGCGCACTGCTGAGGAGTCCCACAATAAAACGAAACGGCCGTCTAGTGCTTTCAGGTTTCCGACGGTGGTCTAACATCAATCGGTTTATGATCTCAACCAAAAGCTTAATAATCTCCACAACCTCTATACTGATTATTCACAAAAGTAACAATCATTTAAAAGAAAAATATGCTAAAAATATGTTCATTTAGATCTAAATGATGATATTCCAAGTTTATTCAAATGCTTTATACATGATGAAACTGATAAATTTTCTCTTCGAAAAGGATTTAGATCTTTTCTTCTCTCCTTTTTTTTCTTTTTAAAGATCGTTTCAACTTTAAATTCATTGAGTTATTCAAGAAATTGAAGAATAAATTATTCTCTAAATAAGAGATAAAAACTGACCATCTAAACAGATTATTTTTTAGAATCCTATTAAAATAAGTTTTAGTAACTTGTATTTCTATTGTTAATCGCATGTAGTGAGATTATAATTTATGGACGAACTTTAAGCACAGTTTAAAATGACCTTGGAGTGTCCACCTACTTACTAAGGTAAAATGTGGGTTATAGATTAGTGTGAGGAATTAGGATTAAGATTTACAGTTGAACGTTAAGGTTAAGAATAGGACTTGATGTTTTCATCACGAACTGACATAAGCTATAATGCCAAAAGGATATTTAGCTAAATCGAATTACGTGCCAAAATCTAAGATATGCTATCTGAAATCTGATTGGTTCGTTCATAAATTAGTCTCACTGGTTCAGAACTGAATTTTGTCTAGCCATAGCTATTATGTCACAACTTTATATAGAAAAGATGAAATGATGAGTCCCAAATACGATGAAATGCCCTATTGGATCCCACTTCTAATCGTATTTGATCTATTTCTCCACAGAAATTTTAGTTTATATTCAGACTGAACATAAACTAGTTTGAAGAAAATAATGTGGAGCCATTCAACTATCTTCATATTATTCATTTTTAAGTTGTTAACTGATAGGTTTCGTACTTGAACGCTTGACTCTAACTTTTTTGCTACTTGTTAGTCCTCCATAATCTCCTAGACTTGAACCTCGAAAAGTACGAAGAAGAGTTTAGCTTCCAAGGTTGGTTTAGGCACAGAAAACAAGGAAATTTATGAGCTTATGCTTAACTTTATTGTTCTGGAAACTTCTAGAAACGTGCTAAAATTAGTGACGAGATTAGTTAGTAATATAAATGATTGTATTGTGGTCTAATGATGATATGGTGTGAATGTGATTTTAGGACTTCGTTTGGTGACGTGTTTTTGGGGAGTCAATAAATGTTCATTACAACAATCTTCCTTGTTCTTACTTTACATAGTGGGATTGTGCTGATTTCCGTTTCTCCGTATAAGCACTTGGGTCAAGAAACTGCAGTGGTTCCTAATTGTTAAGTAAAAGCAGTAAGATCCGGGACTCAACAGAGTCAAAACGTACGTAACAGCTACGACTACACAAATATAACAGTTGGACATCCAATTACAACAGTACCATTTATAAAGAGGGGGACTCCATGATATTATAATTTAACACTTGTTTCATATGTGATTTTTTAATAGTACTATAAAATGTGATTAATTATTTAGGGCGAATATCAACCATACATATAGGCGCAAATATGCTGTTTTTCTTCTCGATTAAACTGCTTGTAAACTATTGAATAGTAATAAATATTAACCTACAATAATATTTCTGAATGGGGTATTGTGGATATTGCAGTAATTTTTTAATAGTTGAATTCATGAATCGATTAAATCTAGTAAGGCGTGCGGGATCGTGGATGCTCACTGTTGAGGAGTCCCATACTAGGACGGCCTGCTTGAATATCTGGGCTACCTGTTCCTCCGATCTAGATATTTCATCAAGTTATCTGTTTTCTTGTTTGTTTTAGCACATCATTATGTCTATTGTGCTCATAATCTATTCAGGCGCGTTTATGAAAAGTTTACAACCTTTCGCTATACAGGTTACAAAAAGGTACAATCAGCGACATCATGGTGGCTGGCAATATGCATTGAAACGAATGAACAGTAATCAAATGTGGATTACCGAACTCCTAACACCTAACTGGTCGTCAAAACTTGTTGAAATACTTTATGCTCATAATTCTATATTGTACCAAAAATATAATGTTGAATAAAGCTAATAATAATAATAAACAACCTCTCGATGCTTCCAGGTTCCGCATGATGATATAGGTTTAGTCGACTCATGCATTCAACTATTTAAAAAATTACTACAATATCCACAAAACCCCATTTTGATTATAATCATCATGTACTCACTATTGACTAATTTCAAGAGATATTTCCTATAGTTCTAATGAAAAACTGTGACCAGTGGAATTCAACCATGTCTGTTATAGAGTCAATTATTCACTGAAAACAATGATAGACAGTCATGCAATAACATTTCTAATAGTTACTTATAGTAATACACAACAGGCTAAGAACACAAAGTGAAAATATTGAAACAACTATAACACAAACATATTTTTCTCATCAAAATAATAGAACTGTTCACTTACTGTTCAGGATCTTGTAGTTCTTCCGTAATAATATTTAAAAAATTCCTAAATCACACAAAAGGAAGATGATATAGTAAATAGAATTCTTACTTGAGTAAACAAAAAAGGACCTTTCTTCCAAACAACTTTGTAGTATTCAAGTGTTTTGGTTATTTAAAACACAAAAAACACAATTATCAATATGATATTATAATAAGAAAATAGAAAATACAAGACAGAATATGACTGCATCACAATCACTATAATAAACTTTTCTCTTCTATACGAATATTCGTCAATATTAGAACGAACAGTATAATAGAAATTAGGCACTAAGTATATAGAAGTCATTCTATTGTGGGAGAGAAAAAACCAGATCCAAACGGAGGAATAAATCAGGCAGAAGCACTGGAAGTGGATAGGACACACATTACGGAAAGCACCCAACTGTGTTATAAGGCAAGCCCTTATTTGCAATCCTCAAGGTCAAAGGAGAAGAGAAAGACCAAAGAACATATTACACAGGGGAATGGAGACATATATGAGAAGAATGAACAACAAGTGGGTAGAACTAGAAAGGAAAGCCTAGGACAGATTGGATTGGAGGATGTTGGTCGGCAATCTATGCTCCTTTGAGAGTAACATTCGCAAGTATGTAAGTAAAATAGAGAAGTCATTATATGTGAAAATTATATTTCAAATAACTTAATTTAAAATGATTCCAATGTTTCGTCCAGTAAACTTGATTGAGCTTCTTCAGAGTAATAATCAAAATCAAACATATTTCCTTCATTATTTCAACTTCACTTATTATTACCCTGAAGAAGCCTAGACAAGTCCTCTAGACGAAACATTTTAATCACTGAATTTATTTCAAATATAATTTTTCACAAATAAGCTTGTGTTTTTTCGATGTATAGAGTTTTTGAGATTGGATACAGCATAGATCTTGATCTAAATATGATTCTCGCTTTGATCACTTTCAAGTTCGTATTTATTTCAATATAAAATGACTATTATGAAAATTCTACTAATAAACTTTCGTATCTAATCATGTATCTTCTTAATAAAATCATGGATAAGATAGAAAATTTACTTCATTTTCAATGATTCTCATATACATCAGTAGTATATGGTTGATTATGATATAAATCTAGTATAGAGGGAAAGAGAGAGACAGAGAAACAGAGGGAGAGAGACAATGAAAAAAGCCAAACAAAAAAGAGAAGAGAACATTTAACTTGTTTTATTTTTGTGTAGAACATTCAAAAATAAAGCTATTTTTATCTTAAATTATGTAAAAACAAAAGTTGTAGAAATGCCATTATATATAATCATCAGAAGATCTAAAATTAGAAGGAAAATTTATTTTTATTGCTGTCATCATAAAGTAAAATGTTTTACCGTTTAGTGTAAAAAAGAAAAGATTCTCAACTCCTATATAGATTTTATATTGCATATAAATCAAATCTAATCGTAACTAAACACTGCCAGCGAAGTCCTACTCACTGTCTTCACGAAGCGGGGGTGTTGTTTACGAAATTGAGAGGACGAAGCACGAATGTCCGGAGCTTTAACTAGGTTGGTGGATACAGAAGATCCACATAGGGGAGTTGATAAACCCTCATTCCAAGCCAATGGTGTACATAGGCTCCAGGATCTTAAGGAAACAAGTGGCATATGAACCAATTCTTGGTCACCGGTTACCATGGGATCGCATCTCCTGACGTTGCTCCACTGCTTTGTGAATCAAACCTTTGGGTCAAAGGCTCGGGATGTGGGCCCCCAAGAAAACCACCTGCTTCGGTTTGGGCATCCGGACAGTATCTCAGCCCTCACACAGATCGAATGAGTTATGTGGCACATATGTATTTGGTGCCTCCTTGTACCAATGTTTATGTGTTTAAATAAATAAATAAGTAAATGATCTATAACCAATATAAATGAATTTATATATTGTTGTCTTTTTCAATTTATAGATTGATTAACATGTAGAAAACCTTAATAGATTTAGTAATTAACCTTTGTAATATTATTGTTATGACTTTATGTCCGGCTTTTATCACGTGATTTATCCACCAATCAAGATACGACTTATACAATCTTCCCACTGTGCCAAACCAATGACGTTCGACCGGTATGGGCAGTCTGACGTCCTAATTGGTCCTATGTCCGCCTAGCCTGTCCACTTGAGTCCAGAACACCAAATACCAGCTTCCAATATGCGAATCGAATCGAATCTTTTATTTCAGACATACTGAGTTTGTATATCAATCAAATAGACCGCAACGCATCATAAAATAGGAAATAACATTTGTACACAATAAAGCCAAAAAGTGGCTGTGAACATGGGAGACGATAATGAATAAACTGAGTATAATTTAAGAACAGTAAGTCGTATAATAATAAATTGTAGGTCAAAATAAAGCTTATAATAAGAGGAATATAAATATACATAATCTAATTATTGAACAGTTATACCATAAGAATGTATAGATAATATTAGTCAATTAATATGTCTCAGAAGTCACTCGTGATTTAATCTTTGCTCGGATATAACAATCATTGTTTTTGTTCTTTCACAAACTATTCATTGACAATAACTGTTTTCCTGAATGGGTGACAATAAGTTAAAAGTAATCATAGTTATTTTAAGAACCACGTATTGTCTTCCCTAATATATATTCTTGCTGAGAATTATTAATAAAATTATACTTTTGTAGTTTAAATTACAGAGTGATCTTAGTTAAATCACCGGTGAAAATCAAGAAACTCCGGATTGATGTCTTGTCCCAGTATGGGGCTCTTCAGGAATTCATATTCATGGGTTCATGTGTGAATTGAACCCTGAACATTTTAGTCTTGCACGAGAACGCTTAATCTTTAAATCCCTGAGTAAGAATCCAATGGTATACAAGGTATACATCATAGGATCATCAATATACCAGAGGATTTTTAGTAATCTGAATAGTTGTACTATATTTTCGGATGCATATCTTCGGGTAGTGATCTAAGGGGAGTGTAATTGTAAACACACATTGAAGATTGTTTCAATACAATAGGCTACCTTTTGATGTAAGTTTACTGAAGCAATTTATCAGCAATTTATTTTTATCATGTTAAGCGATAACTCCATCTATAACTCTTCTACGGTTACTACCCGTCCGAAACCCAAGTAAAAGAGGATGGTTGGGTGTGGGGTCAGCATCTCCATCCCACAGAAAACAACTTTGCTGAAAAACACCAACCAAAATAAACAAATTAAACTATGTCAAGCGATGTACCATTTAACGTGGCACATATGGATGATATTATTACTGCCAGTAGAAGTAGAAAAGGACACTACAACCAATTACATAAAGTTTTTGCTCGCATTAGAGGGTATGGTTTTCATATTAAGGGAGCAAAGTGTTCACATTTTGTTGAGTAATCAATATTTGGGGGGCTAATATCTATTCTCATGGTCATGGACTTGACCCAGAAAAGTACACAGTTATAAATATGCCGGCACCATCTAATGTGAAGATGGTTCAACCAATTAAGAATAAAATTAATGAACTACTAGAAAATACGGGAAGAATTTTTCTAAAAATCCGTGATTTTAATGTGGGCAATTTGGTATATGTATATGATTTCCAGCCGGGAAGGACAAAATGATTGGGCTTAATAAACGGGAGTTATAGAAAAGTATTGTGTGAAGTGATAGTTAAAAAGTACTCTTATTATCAGACATTTAAATCAATAATGGGGTAGAAAATGTAGTAGGGAGTCATCCAAAGTTAAACTTTTTTCGACAGAGGTAATTATGTGAAATATTGGATCGTTTATCATCATTTGTAATGGAAAGAAATGAATTACAGTTGGGAGCTAGTTGAAGGCGAATGAGGAAACGAAAAAATCGGGAATTTTTCAAATGAACCCAAGGATGAACAGTAAACAGGTCTTACGAACAAACTTCGCTGGGGAAGTTTTGTAGGCAGCAGTAGACAGTATTTGATTATTGATTACAGACAAGCTAAAAGATAGATAGATAACTGACGCGTCATATATATTTTCCTACTCTTTGTATTTACTTATTTATTGATTAACATGAGTTCTAGTTAGCTGAACGTCATGTTCTTGATTTCAATCGAGCTGAAGTGTACTAAATTATTTACTGACTGTGTACTTTGTATAGAGTGGGTCAATCATATATACAGTAAAATCGTTCATTGTTCGTCTCAAGTATACTAGCTTCCCAACAGTGTTCAAACAAAATCAAACACTATTTTAGAAAAACGAATAGTTATTCTTACACATTTCAAGCTAGCACTCCTTTCAACAACGTAAATGAAGTAAAAAAGACTTTTTAGTCCAAGAATATTCAGTACTCGTAGAGAATATGTTACCTTCAAAATACTGAATTATAATTCATTCACTCATACTGTTAATTATAAGCTGCAAAAGTCCAGATATTTTCTTTTCTAAGAGCCAGACGGCTTACATGACCTCTTAAAGTCAGAGTATGTGAGGAATTATGAATCATGCATGATATCAGAAGAAGTTGATGATGCACTTAAACAACATCTCAGTCCATATGTCCTTGTCTGAGTCAGAAGAAAAAATTTACGTACTTATACCCATGATTTGAGTATATGACAATTAAACCTTCCTACAAATCTTAATCTTATGCTGTGCATAATAAATCTGGTCAGTTATGTGAAGTTTATATCGTAACTGAATGAGACTGTAGAATACAACTGTTGACCTCAGTGAGTCTAGTGCAATACACTTTGTGATTACTATATAATGATACTATCTAACGATATTTATCACATTGTAAACATGGAATGTCCACTCCACCCACATCCCCTACATATGAATATATATGGCGCATTCAAAGCCATTCGCTACCAACTCCTTGTTTTGATTCTCAGGTTGTCTTAATCTTATGCTTGTGTTAGTTATGATTGTTATCGATTGCTTCTATAATTGTAATATAAGTGCATTCTATGTGCCTATTGAGTCGTCGGCTCACTTTTTCTCTTGTTTTTTCTCTTCTATATTCTCTGTCTGACCGACGCTGGTCCTCACACTCCCTCTGCAAACAAGGTAACTTCAGGCCAGAACAAAACCTACAAAGGCTGGACGTTGTATATATTGATACGGATATTATGCGAAGAACCTTTAATTTACCAATGACTTCCTTTATTATTATTATTGTACTACTTTTACAAGAAATTTCAATGCACTTACCAGCCAGCATAAGCAAATAAACCAGAATAAAAAGCTAGAGCAATACGTGATGGATTAATCGGCCGAGTAGGTTGCCAAAATTCTTCAAGGTTTTCTAGCCTACCTACAAAAGTACACAACACATACACACACAGATATACATTTAGACAAATATTTTACTGATTCAAAAAGTAAATACTAATGTTTTAATAAATTTTGTTTTACTATAATTAATGAGGATGTAATAAAGAATGTTTATCCATTTAATATCTAATAAATTTGATAAATACATAGAAAATGTAATCATGATCATGATCTCAATCAAAAACTCAATAACCTTATACTGATAATTATCATGTACTCACTAGCGACTAGCTTCGTGAGGGGATTCTCCGAGTTCTAGTGAGAAGCCGTGACCAGTGGAGCTAATCCATGTCGGGTGTAAGGCAGTTACCTACCGAAGACAATGGAAGATGGTTGCGCAATATCGTGGGTTGGTTGAAAGTTAGACATTAACACCGTTGAATACCAGCTCAGTGGTCCAGAGGTTAAGTGTTCGCGCGCAAGGCCGATGGTCCTGGGTTTGAATCCTTAGTGTGCGATCATGGATGTGGACTGCTGAGGAGTCCCATCCTGGGGCGAGACGGTCGTCCAGTGCTTCCAGGTTTTCAATGGTGATCGAACATTGATCAATTCATGATCTCAGTCGAAAATGTAATCCTTTGTTTATTCAGTTTATTTAAATGACTTTTAAAAGACTTAGAAGAAAATTGACCAGTTTTTTTTAAAAAAAATATGCATTGTGAACATTGTTTAACTGCTCACATTGCTAACGTATATTGCGCTATTTGGTTTTGTCAATTTTAAAATTTAGTCCTAATACAAAAGTCGTAATGGTCAGTACTGCAAATAAGAGTATGATGTCCACTGAGGATTTCATTTTAATTAGATGAAGTTATCAGCACATATCTTCTGTGGAAACACCACTGTAGCGTGTCCTAACCTTTCGGATGAAAACAGCAGAAAAATGGTAATTCAAAGCTTCATATGAGATCTTCAGTGGAAAGTATTCTCTTGTATGCAGTATTCAGTTATCGAATGAATAGCAAAATGCTTGGATATTAGACATACATTAAACATTGAAATCGGATCTGTTAAACATTGACGGATAGGTATATTATTCCATAAGCTTGTATTTCATTTAGGAATAAGTAGGAAACAAGTAAAATCGATGGAAATTTTACTAATAATATGCTTAAACTTAATAAACATGAAACGACTAAGGAATAAGGATGAACTAGATTAACCCATGAAGTAAAAACGAGAAAGTGATTACTGTTTCTTAGGGAAAATAACAAAAAGCAAATAGAATTAACATATTTGTAATACCATAACAAGATTTATATATTTCTAAACGTAACTTAAAAGTTTTTGTAGTTGGAATCAAGGAACTAACTGGACAAGTATGACTCTATATTGTTACAAGGTATTCATCCATGTCATTCTTAATAATCACTAGTAATTCCTAACCCAAAAACTAAATCCAACCCTAAGATCCCAAATATAGAACCTTATCTCAACTCTAAATTCTAAAACTAACCTCGTTTGGATTTTTCTAGTCAACGATTTATATCATTTGTATTCTGATTGACTAAAAATTGATTTTCCACTCTTTCGTTAGTTTAAGTATCGCTGAAGGCTGCCTGTAAAGTCGAATTAACCATTTTAATTTATCTTGAGGAAACTTCCTCTTGCCAACTATATATTTCGGATGAAAAGTAACATAGCTTTTATGAAAAGTCTTAGACAACAATCTTGCTAGTAACCAATAGTATTACTATTCCGTTACAAAATATTAAAAATGTTTTAACTTTGATCCAACTACTCTCCACTTATCGGCATAAAATTTTGGAGATCGATGAGATTTTTTAATTGAGACCATAAACTGATCAATGTTAGACCATTACTGGAAACCTCGAGGCACTAGACGGCCGTTTCGTTTTAGTGTGGGACTGCTCAGCAGTGTGCATCCATGATCCCGCACGTGACACTCGAACCCAGAACCTTATAATAGTTCTATTCTCAAAGATAGACGTAACAGTCAGTACTGTAAAGCGTAGTTGAAGAGAAGCCTTGATTAACTCAATTGAATTTTGTAGACTTAAAATTTAATAAGTAATACAGTAAGTCGAAAGCAACGATAAAACCTACCATTAATAAAATTTACTCATTCTTATTTCCACCCTAAAATATGAAAGCTTTTTTAAATACCAATAAATAGGCAAGCACAATAGTATGCTCGAACTACCTAACAATACAAATTCATAATCTACAGATGATGGGACTCATATCTTTCATATTTTAGTGGACAATCATCTTACCTTTAAATCACTGAGTCAGTATAACAAACTATCATGTCCTTCTATTCAAAAATACCTAAGCAATTTATTTACAGTTAACGTAAGAGGCCTATGGAAGTTGCTGAATTTTGTGATTTACATTACGAGATAATCTTAGTTAGATGACTATCAAAATCGAAGAAGTATGAACTGCTAGACTTAGAAGTCCTTGGTTTAACCGCTGATGTGGTTAAGGTTAAACACCGTCACTGAAAAGTTCTATCATGTAAACCATAGGATTTATCTACATGTCACTTTTTTATTTTTCAAACTAACTCAACAAACAGTACGTTTTATCAAACGACTTATATTGATCCAATCCATAACTCACCTTGACATACAACATATAAACCAGATAGAATAATGACAATTAATGCTAATAATTTAGCTGCTGTAAATAAATTCTGAATTCTTGTAGCCCAACGAACTTTCATAATATTTATCCATGTCAGGAATGCTGGAATTTAGAAACAAGATAAGCAGACAAATAACTATAGAAAAACAAAATGAAGTAAGACGTTTATTAGATGGGAATGACCAAACCAAATCATGACACATTAATCGTCCATGAAGTCAGTGACTAATGATCAGAATCAATGTTAGCAAGTCAGTGTGATAACTCTGATTAATGTTTGTGTAGATGTTGGATGACAATGATTATAATTCATTACATACATGTGATCTTTATCGTTCTCTAGATCTTGCGATTAAGCATTCTTCATTGTCTTTTCAAACACCATTCTGAATATTAAGTCTTTCTTATCATCATTTCTACGACACTATTTCAATTCATGTGCTATTTACCCTTTTAACTCCATCTCATCGTGCTAATCTGACAATGACAATTTGACATAAGAGATATCTATCCCAGTCTCTACATCGATTATGATCGATTAGGTGGATATAACACAAAATAAATTATTGTTAGAACTACATCGATCAGATTTTAGTCAAGAAACCTTCATGTTATTTATTTTCTTTATATACTTGAACAATATAAAATTTCATTTTTTAAATCACGAAGTGATCTTAGCTAGACTACCATTGAAAACGTGGAAGCACACAAACCATTGAATACTGGATTAGTAGTTTGGGAGTTAGCCGTTCGCGCGTAAACCAAAGATCTTTGGCTTAATTCCCGGATGTGGGGTTGCGGATGAGCATCATTGAGGAACACCAAACTAGGATGAAATCATTATCCAGTACTTCTAACTTTTCAATGGCATTTTTATCCTGCAACCTCCATAAATTTCATCATACCAAAAATAGAATATCTTTCTTTGAAAAATATAGTTTACTAAAGTTATACGATAGCAAACTATTTAACATATAGTATTCTGTAATAAAATGAACAAGTGTTGAATAACAGAGAAAGTTATTGCGATAATCTCAAGTATCAAATACAAGTTGTGTATGAGTTCACAAAATCAGAATATCCTAGGTTTTACTGTCGGTGATAAAGTGCTCGTCAAGTCATACATTGGGAAAAATCGTTGGGAACTGGGAGTCATTGAAAAGAGAATGGGAAATGTTTTATACAAAGTGCGTGGGACTTTCGGAACGTGGATTAGACACATCAGTCAAATACACAGAGAAAAAAGGACTCTCTAGAGATAATTATAGATGCTCCAATGACAGGAACCCCAACAGACACTCATAGATACTGGATACCAAGAAAGTCCGACCACCGCAGAAAACCAGTTATCAAAATTCAAGTAGACCCGAAGAAAAGGTCTTATTTTTTTAAAAGGGAGAGGTACTAGGAAGATTCAGAAAACTCCTCGAAAAAAGCCAACAAAGGATCTGAAAACACTGAGAAGCATCTTGTCCAATCAGCGTTCACCAGAAGTTTTGCCAGAAACATCTAGAAGTCGGAAAGTCGCATGTCAAGTTTCTGATTGGATGATTGCTACACTGCTACTATGTTTGGTAGCATTCTAGAATTTTCGGGAGAGCCCAAATAAATTTAAAATACTATAAAAACCTTATATTTTCTATACTTAAAGGAACCTTCGAAGTTATGTGTTTCTTACATATTTTGCTCCTTTTCTCTCGTGTTCAAGTCGCTGTGTAGTTCTAGCTTGGGGGTTACTAGAAGAGCTTAGGAACCGAATATAGCGTCCAATTAGCAAGACTTATCAGATTCTCTGCTCGATCATAGTATTAATAAGATGTTACAATAAACAAATAATTACTAATAAGAGATGGATTAAGATCGTAGTAAAACAAATGACTGGACATGTAAATTTTAATAATAAGGTTCAGACTTGAATTGGTGACTGGTAAAAGTCCCTACTATCCACAAGTTCCCAATCCATCTTCATTTTTGTCAGTTTCGTATAATATTTTAGAAAATTTCATAGGATACTTCTGGTAAAGCTATTCTTGACCAGAGCTGATGAGTACTTCGAACTTCATCCATTGATTCATTTATTTTTGTTCATTTGATAGAAAGACAGGACACTGTCATTTGATGTGCTTCGAATCAGCGCGCTTTGTACGACCGATACAACCTGGTACATGAAAAGACGCAAACTGATAGATACGTAATGGTAGTTTACTCTTGATACATTCTAAGCTCATTTAAACAGATCTTTCTTAGAGAACTCAGAAGCCGGGTTTCAGTGTCTCTGCAGAACTATCTCCTTCAAACACGACAACTGTACAAGAAGTCTTTTTAGTGTTGTGGGGATTAATTTATTTTGTTATTTGATTCCAGGAATCTCTCATAGAAACCTGAGATGATGGCTGTTTTTCACAAATATTTCTTGAATTTTAACCAATTTATTACTTACTGTGTCCTCAGTGGATACTTGTCTAACTCTTGAAGGTAAAAACTGTTAACCTGAGTGTAACTAGAAGTCAAAAAGAATATTATAACCTTTCTGGTCCTCAATTCAGAGTACCAGTGAAGTTGTACATACACACAAATGAAGAGTCCCAAACTAACATCCAATCCTCACTGGTTTGTAATATTTGCTCGTTTGGTGTCATAATAATCTCTACGCTATGAATAACCATGAGTAAATAAATAGTGCGTTGCATCTTGAGGACGCTGATTTATTACAGCTAAAGCTTCTAACTGATATCACTTCCTACATTTCCCAATAAAACTTCTGATTATCAATTAGTTTACTTACGTCCCAAGTAATATCGCTGACCTATTTATCAATCGACACACTGATCAATGAACAACAATGAAACCTTAACGCTTAATGCTTTTCAAGCTCCTTCTAGTTCAATAGCTAAACAGAAGACGACGATGGGAAGTAAGCCAGTTCTATGTTGTACTCAATTCAGTCATGACTCAAAACTCATACAAAAATATATTTGAAATGCCTGACCACACAGCATTCCTAATAGGAAGTTATTTTTTAAACACGATCATGCCGAAAGTGGTAAAGAGTGGAGCAAATAGTATTTAATTAATAAGCAGTAACTACAGTATAACAAAACATATAATGACTGACAGTAAGTCCATTAGAAGCTTACAATAACGGGAATACAAAAATGCGACAATTATACAAGAGAAATACAGGCAATAATAATCTGAAAAATAGTTCTAACTGTTCTGACTCTTCCAAAGTTTCGTCCTGTTGTAAAATAATGCATAACAAATGTATTAAGGCATAATCTTAAGACATACATATTACTTTTAACTTACTTATAGATAAAATTGAAAAACTAAGAATAAGTAGATGTGGTGGATCACATTTTGAATAAATTGGATAGAGAGCGTAATATGCAAAACTGAAAGCACAAATTGCAGTGGATGTTGGTCGAATTACCACAAGATTCACCTGTTCAATAAACAGATATATATATATATATAACATTTGGCAAGACTATAATTTAGGGATGAATCAATAAGATTTAAGATAGTGGCTCTTGAATTTTGGCGCGAAATTCATTCATCCACATGGCTAAACAGCATTTTGGCATTATAACTGATGACAGTTCGTGATAGAAACCCTAAATCTAACTCTCTAACCCTAATTTCCAGCTGTTAATCCTAATCTTGATTCCTTACACTAGTATATAGCCCTCATCTAACTCCCGTAAGTATGTAGACTTCGCAAGGTTAATGTAGCATTGCTTAAAGGCTCTCAGCCTTGACTGTTTGTTATAGGTATATTCAGTGTAGCTTAACTCAACGTCCCCGATAATATATATATATATATATATATATATATATCAAGTTAGGGTTTGAAGTGAAATCTTTGGTGAAAACTGCACATCCTAACAGGCAACAGTCACCCACTAAGTAAACAGAAAACTGTCCCAAAATAGTTGAGTTCAGCACAGTGAACAGTGAAAATAATGAAGATAACCTCAATTAACCATTAATAAACAATTTTATTCCCATTTTGAACAATTCGTAAACTACGTATTCTATATTAACAGTTACCAAAGTTAGATAACTTGACATCATCACACAACTATGATGTCATCCAAGTTTCCATTGAAAATAAAAACAGACGAGTTTATGATAATAATAATCTGTTTTAGATATCTGTAAACTGTATGTGACTCTAAATTAACTATGAGTCTTGAAATACAATGAATTATCCGACTGAGTTCATCATATATAAATCCTTATATCTGCATAATGCTGAGTACTTGTCAAAAAAAAGAAATTAATTATATCTTGTAATCGTTACCCAATGTCAGGTGACAAGCCAACAACCCTGACATTACCTTGGTCTATTTTGCGTCCACTATTTACTCTATGACTTAGTGTCTCTGATTTGGCCAATTACATGGCCAACTAGAACTGTTAACCTTGAGTCAACAGATAAATTCCTGTTGGTCCATAACTCCCTAGATTTTCTCACTGCCTTACCCTTGAGTTCAAGAGTCAGCAACCAGCCTCTACTATATCTGTAATAGATTATAGATTAACCGAAAGCTTACGATAAATGGAATATATGGATAAAGTAATCTAATTACTTAATAGTTATATCGTAAGAATATATATGATGATAATAATCCGTGAATTTGTCCTGGAAGTTAACATTCTTTCAATCTTCTTTCTGATATATCAAAATCAGTTAACATTCCTACTGTTCAACAAAGTATATATATATATATATATATATATATATATATATATATATATATATATATATATATATATATATATATATATATATAGTCTTACCCATAATTGTAGAAATGCCGGTAAATTACCAAATGCTTTTTTAATGTACATATAATCACCACCGCTATGAGTTATCGTCGTACCAAGTTCAGCATAACATAATGAACCCAATAATGAGATGATACCACATAAAATCCATATTATGATAGAGATACCAGGACTTTGGCCACTATTCTCTAATACACCTTTTGGTGTAACAAATACACCGGATCCAATGATTGTACCAATGGTAATAGAAACACCACTCCATAAACCCAATTCACGTTTTAATTCTATTTTATCATTGATACTACGGTTGACGACTTCGTGACTTGATTTACTGAGTGACAAAAGGCGATCAAAATTTACATCAAGTGAGAAAGCCAATAATGAATAAGAATAATAATAGAAAGACTTTTTTTAATTATATCTGGATGATAGCTAAAATCTGAAATCTTTAATGAGCGTTTCTTCTTACTTAGAACTTGTCGGTTACTAGCCTCAATTCAGAAACATGTAACTAAACAACAATAAAGAGGATGTCCCCTCAGGTTGAACATGTGTCGATAAAGACTGATCGGTTTCAGTTTCAAACATCAGATATTGGGAGACTCAAACTCTTGCAAATAGAAAACATCACCCTCAGTATTGTATGAGTATAAAAGTAAGTTGGTAAGGTAGTTTGATATGTACTAAATCTCATCAATGATGCCTTATCAAGAATTTTATTACATACTTCTTCGTTGGGTCTCCTTGAAGTATATTTTCAATGTATAGATTTTTTCCATAAACATTGCTACAACTATTATTAATTCCATCTCAACGTGTATATACATATAGGGAAAGTTAACTAATGAGCATTTACGACAAGCTCCAGGTTGATTATGACAGACTGGCTGGTTGACTGAAACTATTCTTCATATTATATGAAAGTTTTATTATTATTATTATTATTATTATTATTATTACTAACCTATTCTAAAAATCAATAATCCCTGTAACGATCGATTTTGTAAATGAACTAACATTTTATTAATCATTAATAATTTATGTTACTTGAGCACGTAAACTAAATGTAGACAGTGAATCATATGACATCAGAAAGTAGTTACATTTCATTAAATGTCCAAGATTCAAAGTCAGTTGTTTGAGTACACAGCATTTAGATTTCAAGTGGAAGCATTTTCTAAATTGTCATATTCGATTAGGTGATCTGATTCATCAATAATGAGAAGTTAGATCGTTTGTTATTCAGTAGTTTAATCATATTTATATCAAGTGAATATATTTAATAAGACTTAGAATGTATAATTAGTTTGTTCGACCTTTTGCAGATACAGAAATGATTCCTTCTGAAAAAAACGTTTCGGACAGAAGATGGAATTATCTTATGATGTACATGAAAAATTCTAACAGAAGATATTTTATCTCACGGCCAAAATTCAGGCAAGAAACAAATGTGAGAGGACTATTATGACCATTCATTCAACCGAGGTCATCATCTACTTGCTTCTAACACTCTGTGAACCTATATGGTCTAAGGAGATTACCTCTCAAGTTTTCGTTACAAAGCTTCCCATATAATATTAGTCTTCTTTTGCTGCATACCTGGTTTAACAATTGTAAGGCACTTGATAATAACTGAATGGAACCGTATGGTATAACAAAGAATTTTACTTCGAAACAGATATATCTTAATATTGAATCTTGACTGTTATACTAAAAACCTTACCATGTATAGGGCGGGATTTATCTAATTAATTTTTTAATCTAGTATCATTAACACAAATATGGCATGATTTTCACGTTCATTTAATTTAGAAAATATGATGCTAAGTGCCGACTGTAAAAATTACTACAATAATAGTCGATGCTTTCTTTAGCGAAACTATAATTCATGGAAGGACCAATCAGATTTAGGATAACAGGTCTTGGATTTTGGCTAAATAGTGTTTTGACATTTTAGTTTATGTCAGTTCGTGGTGAAAACCATAAATCTAAATCCTAACCCTTACCATCAATTGTAAATCATTGTCTTTATTCTTCAAATTGCTTTATAACCTTCAGTTAGCTCTATTAAGTAGGTAGACACTCTCAAGGTCACGTTGGCATTGCTCGAAGGTCGCCCATAAATTATAGTCTCACTCTCTCTTTCTCTCTAATTAACAATCCTCTTATACAATTGAAAAACTACCATTAAAGTCGTCTAGTCTAGAAATCTTATGTATCATATTTAAATGAATCTAGGATATATCCAAATAATCAGTCAGTACTATCTACACATGGAGAAAACAGGTCGAAAGTGAATCTTGAAATCATCATCATTTAAATTATTCGATAAACTTTATGGGAAAAAGAGATCTATATAGTGGATGTACAGTTCTTCGTATACATAAAATGACAAACTATAGAAATGATGTAATAATCTTATTTAATAAATCATCATATAAGGTCAAATCTGTCAAACTGTTTTTGACATTAATACTCAGATGTTCTATACTTTTTCATCTAGAGAAGTTAAATCATATAGAAAGCTCTATATGTAGAATTTGTAGGTGATGTTTTTTTTGGGGGGGGGGCGAGTAAGTCATTTTGACTTTTATTCGTCAAATTTTAATCATTATTGGGGATTACAGTATGGTATCAACTGCCGCTCAGAGACTTGGTGACATTTATATCAAGTGTATTTCTATCTAGACATAATATCCAGGATTAAATTGTATTTATACACATTTAAAAACTAATTTCTGCGGCCCAAATAGCTCAGCGGTAACGTCTCTGACTGTGAAGCTGGGTGACATGAGATCGAATCCGCCAGGGAGCATCCGTTCCCTCAAGATTACAGGTACACCTTGTTGGCGAGTGCCAAGTAGCACGAAACCCGGATCCAGGGTTTCCTGTCGACTACCTCCAACTACCATCTATTCTCAATATATAGTGCACACAGTGTCGAGTTACCTAGACTGGTGGCCATATTGCAACATGGTCAGTAGCATTTGATTTGCACTAAATAAGGACTTGACACACATGACATTGATAGCCACCCAGTGATCAGTCAATTGTGAAAGGTTAAGTTTGCATATTAGGAACCAGGTTTATGTTATGATTCAAGGTGATCACTTCACATAGTTTTCGTCACTAGCTGATATCCGTTTTAATGTAAACACGTTTAAGGTTCAATATTAAGAGTTAAGTTGGTATTTTCAATTAGGTCAATTAATTAGAGTTAGGGCTTTCATTCTAAACTAATATCATCTATAATACAATGAATTCCTACTCTTCTGTTTACAAACGTAAAGAAGTTAGGATTAAGATTTAGAGTGAGAGAATACTATTTAATCTTTTCTCTAAACACTCTTGACTACACATTGAATCATATCAATGACTTTCAAATATACTCTACCTTAGAAACAATTATAATTTATATTTTAGCTTAAACACCTAAAATTCACATTTTGATTGCATAATAGATGTTCTAATTGATTACAAGCATTTTTTTGAATAATTTTTTCTGATTAACGTTTTTTTAGTGAGTTAGTTCTCTACAGGATTGGGTCGCTAACCGCATGCCCAACCCTTCTCCTTTATCCGGGCTTGGGACCGGCAGTAGCCCCCAGAGGGACTCAAGGCGGAGTTGATTGCAAACATTGTAAGAATCAATTCTTGTCAACTTTCACTTCATTAATAATAACATACAACTTATCTATCAATGCACTTTAAATTTCGTGCAAAATACTCAAGGCATCATTATCATAGTTCATTCTAATATTTATTTTGAATCATTCCATTTATCTTAATTATGAGGATCTTTCTAATTATGATAGACATAATTCTTATGATCTTGTAGATATTCTTTGATCTCTGTCAGTATTTAAAAATAATCCCCAGTAAATAATGACTAGTGTTTCGTATAATTGATTAGTGATTTCTTTGAGATCATCTAAGATCATAATGATCATAATGAACACTTCACATCTATCTGAAGTTTGTGCTGATGATGTCGTTCAGAAGAACGATGAAAGCTCCACGACCAAACCATTCAGCTCAGAGAACAAAACACCACCAAGATCATCTTAGTATAACACTATGATTTTGTCTTATTATCTATCCTATAAGGACTGAATATCTTAGTAATATTATTATTATATGAATCATCAATAATTAAGATAAATAAAAGTAAACTTACCGTTTGTTCATTTGTTCTTTTTAAACTTTATCCACAAATTGCATTATCTTTTCTTCACATATATATACATGTGAAGAACAAGTAGGCAGTAAGCATCTAGAACTTTCGGCCTTATTGTATGACAAACAAAAACAAGTGATTTGTCATGTAGGAAATATTCATTGGATGTCTGTCTTATAATTTGCCCTATTCATGTTTTCAATCTATTTAACCTGATTGGTTAAAACTTTCAGTGTTATAATCAATTCATTATCAGAATTTAAATTTAACTACTTGCTAGTAGCTAAATTATATTGAATAAACGTTTCTCGATATCATGACATGTTCAGTAGTCTTTTTTTTGAGTATAGAAATATTTCAATGGTTAAGATCATGAGTCAGTTGAAGCTAGAGCACAATCTCCACAAAAACCCATCTGATATTTTGATGGATGGGATAGGTGTGGCACACAAACCAACAAAATCACTACAATCAATCTTATGCAAACCAAAAGATGAAATAACAAAGGAGAACAAATCAAACATTATCTACAAAATAAATTGTACCAACTGCGATAAACACTACATCGGACAAAGCGGACGTCCCCTCCACCTACGCCTACATGAACATCAATTAGCAGTCAAACGCCATGATATCTCTTCACTTATTTCAATACACGTGGATAACTATGGACACTCATTCGATTGGGAAAATGTAGAAATCTTAGACAGAGGAAACTCCAAAAACACCAGAGAATTTCTAGAAGACTGGCACTCAGGTCAATCAGCAATCAACAAACATATTGAAATCAATCCAATTTATCAACCAATCAGGAAAATCATGCATATATATAAGAACAAAAATCAAAACAATGGGAGACACAACCAAAACAAAGAAGTAAACAAGGATAAATTTAAGGTCAACAAGAACCAATCAACATCGAGGTGCACAGAACAAGCTGTGAAACACATAAGGAGAAAATCGAACACTTCACTTCTATCTGAAGTTTGTGCTGATGATGTCGTTCAGAAGAACGATGAAAGCTCCACGACCAAACCATCCAGCTCAGAGAACAAAACTCCATCAAAATCATCCACCTGAGCTACAAATCTTCTCCACCATCCCATCTGATATTAATCAACATATGCTCACTAGTGACTGGCTTCAAGAGGTATTTCCTGGAGTTCTTAGTGAGAAGTAGTGACCAGTGGAGTTCAACCAGGTCTGTTGTGAAACAGTAACTCATTGATAACAATGGTGAATGTGTCGCTCAATTTCGTGGATTAGTTGAAGTTAGACATTAACACGGTTGGATGGCGGCCATCTCAGTGGTCTAGTGGTTAAGTGCTCGGGCGCGAAACCAGTAGGTCCTGGGTTCGGATCTCGCAGGGGGTGGGGTCGTGGATGAGCACTGCTGAGGAGTCCCACAATGGGACGAGACGGCCGTCCAGTGCTTCTAGGTTTTCCATGGTGGTCTAGCTTCAACTGACTCATGATCTTAACCACTGAAATTACTACAATCTCCACAAAAACCCATCTGATATATAAATATTTATTTAGAATCATTGAAACAATTAACAGTCGATATCACTTATTTAACGTATTATATGGCCATGTGTATATAGTCTCTGCCAGGGAAGTCCTACTCACTGCCTTCTCGTGGCGGGGGTATTGTTTACGAAATTGAGAGGACGAAAAGCGAATGTCCGGCGCTTTAACCGGGTTGGTGGACATGGAGAGTCCACATAGGGGAGTTGGAAAACCCTGATTCCAAACCAATGGTGTATATGGGCTCCAATATCCTGAGGGAACAAATGGCGTATGAACCAATTGTTCGTCACTGGCTTCCATGGGAATGCATCTCCTTACGATGCTCCACTGCCTTGTGGATCAGACCTTTAGGTCAGAGGCTCCGGGTGTGGTCCCCTAAGAAAACCACCTGTTTCGGTTTGGGCACCCGGTCAGTATCACAGCCCTCACACATATAAAATGAGATATTCGTGACGCATATATATTTGGTGCCTCCTTGTACCAATATCTGTGTGTTAAAATAAATAAATAAAATGGTGAATAAATGTTTCATTACGCTATAAGACATTTCAACAATTTACATTTACACTCTTGTTGAAGATCAAATTTTGAACCTTCAAGTTCATTGTCAAATGTTTGACTTCTCGACCACTGACCCCTCATTAAATTGTTCACATTTTTAAACTGAATAAATTTTCGTATATTGTAGAACTTGTTGAGTTGGCTTTCCGAGAACGGAGCCTCCAGAGGACCTAAAGGAGCCGAAGAGTCCTAGCAATCAGAGCATAATGGACCTTCTAGGATATCAACGTGGCGTGCTACTACTGGTCAGTAGCATAATATGTATTTTAGCGGATTGGCCAAAATATGATGTTGATTTAATAAATGTTAACATCTATAAATACCCGTGTTTTTCTGTACAAAAATGAACCTTTGGAGTAAAGTTTTTTCACTTATTTTGCGCCCTTTCTCTCGAGTTCAGGTCGCCGTGCAGTTCTAGCTTGCGGGTTACCAGAATAGCTTAGGAATCGAATAAAGCGTTCAAATTAACAAGACTTATCAGAACTATCTTCTAGATTCAATATTGAAAAACTACCTCATACCAAATTCATCATAGCATCACATATGGATTCTGTTCGACATACATGAACTAGTTATTGTTAAATGCAACACATGTTTTTGATGTCATAAGAAATGTGGTGAGAATTTAACTTACATGAAACATTTTCCTTACATTTATTAAACTTTATAATAGACAAAGTTGGATTATTAGAATGAGCGGAATCTAATTTAAGAATATTTATTCATTGCTCAGAATTCCCACCACTGGGAACATTTTTCTTCAAAATACTAATAAATTGCAATTACATTTACACAAAATGACCCACTAACCATTTCCAAATGCTTATTTTAACTGATAATATGATATGCGACAACAATGTAGGATGATTGCATAGATCAATTTTCATTCCAGCATTGTCAATATGATAACGGTAGAAAATAATAAAGGATTTGATACATTGGACTATGTTGTAGATCAGATCGATGTACAAAATAAACGAGTGGATAAAATGACTGGGTAAACTAGGCTATAAAACTAAATACAAGTTAATCAGATCACCAACCTAGATTACGTTATGCGCAGACACATATTTGCGACTAATGACTGATAAGCATACTATAGAGCTAGAACAATTTACTGATTCAAAGTACAATCATTCTAAATGTATTGAACTAAGATTAGAAATTTCAAACGAATCTGTTAAAATATAAAAAGAAATACCGATTTTTATTGCTCAGTAATCAAACATAGGTTATCATGTAACAGTTATATAGTTTTTCAACTCTAACAACCAGGTCTTTTCGTGATACAAAAGCTCTAATATGTGCTTCGACTATTCATCCATCTATAATTTTCCAGCTTGTCAATGAGTCATGTGAAATGTAGGCCCTGCTATTTATCTGTATCGGATAAAGTCACCACATTATAACAGCACAGCGAGATTCAGTTGTCATGGCAAATACCAAAGTATCAGAATTAGTAACACTATAAGCGTTGATAAACGATACGATACGAGAAATAATGAAAACGTGGAATAAATTGCAAGGGTTGATGCTAATACTAATACCAATCCACTGATAGTTTGAGCAAATACTCCTGTTCACTTACAGGCAATGCCTCCAACTAATAATTATGACATTCAAGAATATTCCAACAAGCCAGTGCTCCTGACAATCAATGAATTTACAGAATGGTGTCGAATTTCGATCTGACTACTCTTAGTTCTCTTCAGATCCGTTCCTGCACTGACAAGCATTCCTTGTCAAGGTGAGCGCTGGCTGGTCATATGTAAAACGTGTCACAACCACTTCAGATGATGAAAGCTCACTATCTCATCGACCACCTTGTTATATTTATCCAGTATGCTTCTCATAACATAAGCATCGTTCACTTAATGGTCCAAATGTACGTGAGAAATACTTCGAACACATCTATTATCAGATATCAGTAATCAGCGGTTATCCTTCACTTTTGTTTAACACAAACAAAGTCGAAAATAACTCACTGTTGCTCAGTATACTCAATATTTTCTTGGAAGATAAACGACTCGTCTATATTACAAGTAAAGACAGTTGATAAGAGCCAAAAAACTTTTTCAAGTCTGTAGAAAGACTTCATCAGACAACAACCCACCAGGATGTATGAGACTTCCAAGATAAATGGAATGATTAAAAGAGTTTCTAAACGATTCCACGTAACTCTCGCCATGTTTTCACGATACAAACTTATCAGTGGACCAATTAATTTAGATTAGATAACCATCTGATGACCACAGTTCTTCTTTATTCACACCTTTCAAAACACTTGCGCACTACAGAAGTTGTCATAATTAAGTGGACTACTAAAGACAAAAAGTAAACGATTTATAATTGGTTCATGTTACTCATACAATTTATATCAAAACAAACAAGCACATTCACTACTTGATTCAAGCCCAAAATTTGTAACTACTCTGTAATTACATATTCTACGAAATCGCTGATTGAAAGCTGTTACTAAGATATAATCTATAAAACTGATTGACACTTGCTATTATTCTAATTAGTCTATCAAATTAATTTGAATTAGTCATGTGGTGCGTGCTGCTTATATTGATGTAAGTAGTATATGACGTAATGTCTGGCAGCAAATTAGGGAAGATCAAGAAAGGAAGAGTGGGAACACAATGTAATTTGTAAGAAAACGCATAGACAATGAAATGTGAGACAATGGATTGATGTTTACAACAGGAACAGTCCAGGTTGTTATGATGGATTGATATTTTGCAAATTAACGATTTGCTATATGGTTTTTCTATTTTACCAAGTAACTCTGTAATTTTGTGCTAAATTCATCCGGTTTTCCCAACCCGTGTTTTGTTCACTACAATCAAAGCACTACGACAATTTATGGAACCGTTAATATTCATACATATTAGATGAAACACTTTATGAAAATCCACTATAATTTTGTTCAATATTTTATACTACTTATAAGTAACCAACGTTTGAATCAACAATAAAACAAGACAAATGTATATATTTTTTTACCATTTCATTTATTCTGTTTGGGTATGAGAAAAAAATATGTCACTTATTGAATCGTACTAAAAACACCAGTAGAAAATATTAAACGAAACAAAATGAAGATTATGTAACTGAATGAGTAATTTTGATTCTTCCGTAATAAAAAACACAAAATAAAAATTTACTTGGAGTTAAAACAAAACAAAACAAAACAAAACGAAAACAAGCCAAAAGTCAGAATAATGATAATCAGATTAACAATAATCAATAGATTGTAAAATTAATGTAGGATACAAGTTGGGGAAAAAAAGAAAAAAGAGAATGTTTACAACTATTCGGTTTTATCATTATTTTTTTGCAGGAGGTGGAGGAGGGATGAGTATTCAACTGTCTTATAACATGTCTTATAGCATTAACAACACATATGCACACATGTGTATTTTTAGGCAATTCATGTAAATCATGTGAATAATGAAGATTAACAAGGAAAAAAAGGAGAGGGATTGAACATATAAATACCCTCGTGATTAGATCATTTTATCTAGGAAAGAAATCACAATATTTGCTGTCTTTATTCTATTGTTTTCTTTTAATTCGGAAAACTTGATTCAAGCCTGTATGTGTATGCATGTATGTGTATGTGTGTGTGTTTGTGTGGTTGTATTTAATTGTCTAGACAACAATATAATATAAAACAAATCTTTGATCAAATAGAATGTCCAATAATCAGCTCTCTTAATGATCATGATGACAATGATGAAATATGATGAATAAAAGAAAGAAAAAATAATAACAGATTTCTCAATGTTGTTTTTCATTTATTTACAAAATTAACTAGATATTGTTTTCTGATGTATTCACTCAAATTGGATACTTGTATTGAACCTATTTTTCATTCGTCATGGTATACACAATCTCATTGAGTTCCATGTGATATTTGATGTAGCAAATTTGCTAAATGAAGAAATCGTTTCTCAATTTCTGGATGTTTTAAAATTTTATTTATTGAATTGTAATATGTTGATCTAAAAGAGAGAAGAGACAGAGAGATAAGTAACAGATGAAAGTATGAATGCCAAATTCATTAAGCAATAGGTAGAAAGTTAACAATTAATATACTACTTGTGATATTTCTAATGAGTAGAAAAAATTGTATTTCTAATGTTTCGTAACTCGATATAAACTGCTGCTTCTTCAGAAACTTTATTTATGTTGAACTAAAAACGGATTACAATAAACAAATTTTTACTGACTTAGATTTTGTTTCATCTTAATTTGAAACTCCTTAGTAATAGTATGTAACCATAATCATGTAAGGTAATCAATCTCTTACTTGATTATATATTTTCATGAGAACAAGACTAAATAGTAACACGGTAAGGCCTTTAAACGCCGTGGTACAGCTGAGAGTGGAGAGAGTCAGTTGTCCCTCTCGAAATGCTCTCACATGGTCATGAGCATACCATCATTACCAGGGAAGTCCTACTCATTGACACCTCGCATCAGTGGTGTTGTTTACGATATTGAGAGGATGAAAACTGAATGTCCAGCGTATGAACCGATTGTTGGTCACCGGCTACCATGAGACTGCATCTCTTGACGTTTTTGCATTGCCTTATGGATAAGACCTTTAGATCTAATATATACACTGACAATTTGCTATCTGGATTGAAAATGTTATTTTGACAAGACTATATTAATATTCTGTTCAAGTCTTGTTTTCATTTAGAAACCAGTTAAGTGAAATGAAGCTTCCAAAAAAGACTAAGTAGAATAAGCAAAATTTTCATTTTCGATGTCTAAATGTTATATTTAATGCTATTTAAAACTTGTTCTATTATATCTATGCTTTCTGTGAATTAAAAAAAATTTTCTAAGACACTGATTTCTCACTTTTCAGTAGCATCTATGATTATTATTTTCTTTTAAAAGTACATATTAGTCATTACAATTTGAATTGCCATAGCTTGAAATAAGATATAGATAATCAAAGAATAGCTTAAAATACAAAGATTAAAGCTAAACTTCCACATCAATAGACCTTTGATAAAAGGGTATAGGGATTCGATGATAAAACCGAAGGTTATGAATTAGACTCCTAAACGCAAGGTTGTATGTATTCTTATTTATATTTAAACACACAAACATTAGTACAAGGAGGCACCAAATAGATATGCGGCACATAAATCATTCGATTTGTGTAGAAGGCTTGAATACTGTTCCGGTGCCTAAACCGAAGCAGGTGGGTTTCTTGAGGGGCCACACCTCAAGCCTTCGGTCTAAAGGTCCATCCACAAGGCAGTGGAATAACGTCAGGAGATACAGTCACATGGTAGTCAGTGACCAACAGTTGGTTCATACACAATTTTGCCCTCAGGATCCTGGAGCCCATGAGCACGATTGGTTTGGAATAAGGGTTTTCCAACTTTCCTATGTTGATCCTCCATATCTACTAACCCAGTTACAGCGTTAGTTTTCGTCCTCTCACATTCGTAAACAACACCCCTGGTTTGAGAAGGCAGTGAGTAGTACTTCCCTGACAGTGGCTGTATACACGTGATCATGTGAGATTATTTGGAGAAGGATTACTGATTCTTCCTACTCTCAACCGTACTAGGGCATTAGATATGCTCTATTTTAAGAAGTTTCATATTATAACATAATAGTCATCTAATATCAGTATGGGGGTTGTGGAGATTGTTAAGTTTTTGGCTGAGATCATGAATTAATTGATGTTAGACCACCGTTGGAAACCTGAAAGCACTGGACGGCCGTTTCGTTTTATTGTGTGACTCCTCAGCAGTGCGCATCCACGATCCCACACCCCGCGGGATTCGAACCCAGGACCTACTGGCTTCGCGCCTGAGCACTTAACCATTAGACCACTGACCTGGCATCCAATGGTGTTATTGTCTAATATCAACCAATCTACGAAATTGCGCGACCACCTTCCATTGTACTGAGGTAGATACCTGTCTGTACCCGACACGGATTAGCTTCACTGGTCACGACTTCTCACTAGAACTCCGAGAATTCCCTCACGAAGCTAGTCACTAGTGAGCACATGTTAATTATCAGTATGGGAGTTGTGGAGATTGTTAAGTTTTTGGTTGAGATCCCGCGGAGTGCAGGATCGTGGATGCGCACTGCTGAGGAGTCCCATACTAGGACGAAACGGCCGTCCAGTGCTTCCAGGTTTCCAATGGTGGTCTAACATCAATTAATTCATGATCTCAACCACACAAAAAAGTCATCTAATAATTATCTAATTAAGATTAATTAAATTATTCATTATAAACTTACTTATCATTATTATTATTGTTATTATTTATTAATTCATGATTTTCTTCATTAGAACTTGTACTAGAATTAATTAATTCATTAGTATAAGTAAAATTTTCATTTTTCTCCACTGTTTCATGTATCATATCGGTTAAATGATTAATAACATTATGATTATTCCAATTATGTTTATTTTTTTCATTTTCTTGATTTATTAACATTCTCCCAATATTATTTTTATTAATCCCCCTATCACTAACCTCCTCCTCCTCCTTCTCCTTCTCCTTCTCCTCTTCCTTAGCAACATCATGTTTTGTTGTTTCTATGTTTAATTGTGTTTTAAATAAATTTAATACTTCATCTAATAAATGAGCTAATTGTAAAATTGTTCCATTATTATTTGATTTATTGATAGATTGATAATTATCAGTAATATATTGATTAATTAATGAATTATTATGTATAATAATTTTATTTGTATTATTAATTTGTTGATTTGAACTAATTAAATTACGAAATGGTCGATGATGATGATGATGATGTTCTTGGTGTTGCTGATGTTCTTGGTGATGATGTTGTTGCTGATGAGGATGATGTTGCTGAGGATGATTAGTATTTTTAATGATTGATAATAAATCAGAAGAATTCGATTTTAATTGTGTTATATTTAATAATGGATTAGAATTATTATTTATTTGATATTTATATTGTCGTTCTATAAAATATTGATATTTTCTTAAAATTTTCTTATATTTTAATGAATTATAATCAATAAAATTTGGGATTGATTTCGATTTTATTGATTTATTTATAGGAAATGATGAATTGATTTTTATATGATTTATATATTGATTATTGTTTTCGGTTGAATATTGATTATTGTATTGATCTAATTGAACACAAGATATTGTCTAAAATAATTAAAATGATTTTTTTTTAGAAAAAAAGTATTTTGGAAATTAATCTGAATGACTTAGCAACAACAACAACAACGACAACAAAAATACACTTACTAGTATGTAATGTCTTTGTGAAGATTATTAAATTATGGGTAACTTTTGAAGGTATTTCCTCTATTTCGGTTAAATATAATATACTGCTCAATTGCTTTAAGATATAAATGGGTATACTTTTTATTAAACTCGTCGTCTAGTCTATTAGAGGGTAAATAAAATCTGTTATTTTCTTTCTTAGAGTCGTACATGTTATATTCGGACGAGAAAAAAATGACTGGTAACCGTTAGGAATTATTTATGGACTAATATAATACATATATTCCTATTGTGTGACTGTTCAATAGCTAGATTATGTATATTTACATTCCTCTAATTATAAGCTTCATTTTGACATATAGATCATTATTATATGATTTACTGTTCTTAAGTTATGTCCATTTTGTTAATTACAGTCTCCCACGTTCGCAGCTACTTTTTAATATAATTTTTAGTTTTTATTTTATGGCGTGATGTCGTTTGATTTTGCTTGTATATAAACCAAGTATGTTTGAAATATATGATTCACATGGTGATAACTGTTATTGGTGTTCTGAACTCAACAGCCAGAGCTAGGAAGGTAAAAAGGTCATTAATTAAGCTAAGCCGCTCATTACCGGTCAATAAGTCATTGTTGTGGTACAGAATTAACATGGTATAAATCATATTCTAATTGGTTAGCTTATCACATGATATATTAACCGACCACAAGTGATAACAGTAGGCATTTCTGTTGTATAAATTTTAAGACATCAGTAAAAGCTCAGTGGAATTTAAGCCTATACAGCTTAAAGAACTGAATAACACTAAAAGACACCAACTAAACTATAAATCTGTTATTTTGAGATTTAACATTATTGTGGGTCATAATAGTATTACTGTAGTGAATGAGTACACCAGTAGGGACAACCTAACATATTTGAACACAAAATTCAAAACATCTTAATAAAATCTGAGAACCATACAGTAAATAAAGATGGATATTGGGCAAGCAGTGGAATCCAGGACGCGTGTTTCGTCCTATTTGGGACTCGTCAGCTGGATGTACCTAAAACTCGAATCCAGTACTTGGATTCCACCGCTAGCCATTATCCATCTTTGCTTATAATACTTGTAAATTAAGACAATATTGAGGCAATACTCACAGTATGCACATCTATGCCAAGAGATTGATCAATTGTTATGCTAAATAACAATGGGAAGATCCAAGTAAAATAATACCAAGTGAATCATACAGTTTTTATTTATTTATTTTAACATAGATATTGGTACAAGGAGGCACCAAATACATACGCGCCACACAAATCTCATTCGATATGTGTGGGAGCTGTGATACAACCCGGGTGCCCAAACCGAAGATGTGATCCACAAAGCAGTGGAGCATCGTAAGGAGATGCAGTCCTATGGAAGCGGGTGACCAACGATTTGTTCATACTCCATTTGTTCCTTCAGGATACTGGAGCTCATGTTCACTATTGGTTTGGAATCCGGTTAAAGCACCAGACATTCGCTTTTCGTCCTCCGCGCCACGAAAAGGCAGTGAGTAGGATTTCCCTGGCAGAGGCTATATACGCGTGGCCATGTGAGAGCATTTTGAGAGGGAGAGCGGACTCTCCCCACTCTCAGCCGTACCAGTAAATACTTGATTTACAAAATATCAATCAGTTGTCTAACATTTGACTATTCCTTTATTTCCATACCAATCAATCTTTATTGTCGTTCTCATTCTCTCAATCTTGTGAACGTTTTACCATCAGACATATCACATTCGATTGATGATACATACTACTTATATCTATTGATATCAGTAGTACATATCATATTACTAATAATTACATAATAACTATATGATATTACATGAAAATCATCTTACCTCATTTGAATATTTTAATTTATTTTTATTTATAGAATTCATTTGTTGATTTAAATTATTAAAATGATGTTTTAAAAATTTTAAAGGTTTTAAATCAATTTGATTATGATTTGTAGATTCATTGATAAATCGTAATCTTACAGGGAAATATTTTAAGGGGTACTCATTACTATTATTATTATTATTGTTATTATTAATACAAGTTGTCAAGGGAACCGTTAATTGTTGACAATGTTTCATATAAACATGAAATATGATAGATTTCCATGAATTTAATTTAATTGAACAAAATTTACATCCAAATTTAATGAATAGTCGATTGTTTCTATGAAGAATAGATGATTTTGATTTATTCCTATGACATTTTAATGATTTTGTCATTTTTATAAGGTTTGAATTATTAGTAGTTAAATTAAGTGGACTACATTCAAAAGATAAAGGAAATTTATTATCTTGATGATGATGGTGATGATGATTAATGGTATAATCAATTTTTACTTCTTCATCATTTTTATGCAAAATTTGTTTCGATGTTGAAGAAGATGATGAGGATGACGAGGAGGAGGAAGAAGAGGAAGAGGTTGATGAAACAGGCAAATCGACAATACCTTCACCAACGGATAAGGATATAGGTGATAGATTAATATTTGATTCAGATGAACTACAAAAGCTTGGTTCACATTTAATTGTTAAATCACTAAGACGATTTTGATGATGATGATGATGATGCTGACGTCTTCGATTTTTATATTGATGTATAGTTCGTCTAGCTTCTTCTAAACTCAATGTCTGTACTTCTCCATTTCCATTGTGAATTTGTTTTATATGTTTACCGACATCCCATTTCCAATTACTTCTGTATAAATAATAATAAACAGGGGGAAAAACATGTTACATAAACAACTTGAAACTTTAAAATCTTTAATTTTCAAATTTCGCGATAAATCAGCCTTTACCCCCCCCCGTTTCAGAAACTACTTGAATGTTTCATGACTACATACAAAATTTTCTCAAATTCAATTTATCAGTAATCATTGAATGTGGAATAGGTGATCAATAAAAAATAAATAACTCTGTACACATTCGATAATTTTATCAACATAAACAGTTGATAGGCGGTTTTATATCATCCTTTTCGTTTTCATTGAATCCCTTGAATTATATTTCTGAATAACTAATCTCTTCAATTCATTATGTCTTCATATATAACTATCAATTGAGTTGTTGTCAAGTTATACAGCCAACTCTTTGGTAAAGATTAGTTAGTGTGTATACTAAATGAATAAATAAATTAATTAAATCATTGGTTTTTGAAAAAAATCAAAAGGAAACTATCTCACCTATGACCACAGACAGAACATTTAAATGGTCTGTAATAACCTTCACCAGTAGTTGTTGTAATCGTGGTAGTAGCAGTAGTAGTACTAGTACTTGTAGTTCCAGTCAATCCAACACAAGTTATCCATGGATTGGAATTTGTTGATATATCTGAATGTGTTTCAGTTAAATATCGATTACGTGATAATTTCATTCGATTCATATATTCATTATACGTGCTTTTAGCATCTTCTAAATCTAATGTAATTGTTATAATGTTTGTACGTTCTGGATGTGCAACCTGTCAAAAAGAGAATAAAAATGAATACAAAATAAAGTGATTATATCTTGGATGTTATTAACCACGAGTACATGTCACTCAATATCATCTACCGGGATACCAAGTTACGTTGGGAATAGTACTGATTTGACACAGAACGACCATTCATCGTAAACAATGATGACTCTTGCCCCTAAATGCCCTGTTACGGCCAAAAGTGGAGAGAGTCAGCTCTTTCTCTCCAAATAATCTCACATGATCACGTGTATACAGCCACTGTCAGGGAAGTACTATTCACTGCCTTCTCAAACCAGGGGTGTTGTTTACGAATGTGAGAGGACGAAAAATAACGCTGTAACTGGGTTAGTAGATATGGAGGATGAACATAGGAAAGTTGGAAAACCCTTATTCCAAACCAATCGTGCTCATGGGCTCCAGGATCCTGAGGGCAAAATTGCGTATGAACCAATTGTTGGTCACTGACTACCATGTGACTGTATCTCCTGACGTTATTCCACTGCCTTGTGGATTGGACCTTGAAATGAGAGACTCATGGCGTTGCTTCCTAATAAAACCACCTGTTTCTGTTTGGGCACTCAAGAAGTACCTCAGCCCTTCACAAATCGAACGATTTATGTGCCGCATCTGTATTGGGTGCCCCTTTTTACCAATATTTATGTTCAAATAAATAAACAAAAAATAATAAATCATTTATGGCTGAACTTTGCCGGTCATGAGTTGGAGTTGCTTATGGATCACTTTCTATGACGGTTAAACGAGTGTGTTAATTACAACTTATAAAAATTCATTACAAATCCTTTTTAATTCTATGCAGCATTTCAGTTCCTCCTAATCTGATTTAGTTATATTGGTTATATTACTTATTAATTTAAAGTAACTAATTTTAATTTCTATCATTTTTGAATATAAATTGTGTTTCTAAGCCTTAACATGTACTTGTCACATTCAGTCATTTGAACATTTTACCTATTACTTTCAATCCTTGTATTACTCACTTTTATCCTCTTGGTTCGACGTTTTTTGATCGATGTGTTTTTTAGCACACTTAAATGCTGTTGTATAGCTCAGCATATATTTTGCAAAAGAGATTCTCACATTATCATTGCAAGAAACATTTGTTGTACTCGGATATTGTATTAGGATCAGAATTCTCATGAATTAAGTTTTTTTTAACTGTAGCTCATTATGTAATTTCTTCCGAATACACTGATTGATCTCACTCTTATATGTTTATCTATCTAATTCTAACTGTTTCTATATAGCTATCGTATGACTAACAAATTCGCTCTTTTACTCTCCATTGAAATTTTAATCAATCACTTTATTCACATGAATGTATAGACTTACTTTAATATGTTTATTTATGTCCCATTTCCAATTGGATCGATGACCACAACCTGAACACTGAAATCGTTTCCATTGTTCTTCCTTGTTATTATTATTAGTAGTAGTAGTAATAGTAGTACCATTATTATTACTATTGTTACTTATATTAGTAACAGTACAAATAGGATTATTCACATCTAAATGACAATTAAATAAACTAGTAACTGGTGCAGATTTACGTCCTGTATTATTTCTAGTTAATAAACGATGAGATTCTTTTCTTCGACCTGGTGTAAAAAATCGATTAACATGTAATTGATTTTTTGATTGATTTTGATTTTGTAAATTATTCGATAATTCTAATGAATCAATATTTGATGGTATAGACCAATCTGATGTGGATTTTATATTTTCCCAATTCATTGATAATTGATTATTTTTTAATTTATTATATTTAGTAAAATCAATATTTAAATTTTCATTCATTTGTGATTGAATTGTTGTTGTAATTGATGATGGTAATAATCCGGATAATTGATGATTTGCAATTGATCTAAATATTGTATGATATGGTGTATTAGACGTAGTCATTGTAGTACTAGTGACAGTATTAGTCGTAGCAGTACCACTAAATGTTGTATTCGAAGCAGTTACTGTCCTAGTAATCTGTGTTACATTATTATTATTATTATTACTAGGCGAAAGACTTGTCGGTATTGTGGATGTAATAGGTGATGTCATACTAATAATATTGTCAGAATACGTTGTTACTCCTCCATGTGTATCATAATGCATAGTTAAATTCTTGTATTGTTCTGACTGTTGTTGTTGCTTTAATTCGTGATACCTTTGACTGTGTTGTTGTTGCCATGTTTGTAAGAGACCAGTCATTAAAACCTGTTGTTGAATATTGAATAGCAAATTAATTGTTGGATTTGATGATGCATTATTTTTTAATGGGTCAGAAATTAATGAACCAATTATATACGGTGATATTGAAGTATTATTAGTATTACTGGTAGTAGTATTAGTAATATTGTGCATAATATTCTGTTGTGAATTAGATGAAATAGGATAATGAAATCTTGTATCCGATAATGTATTGTCAGATGTAATAGTAGAATTAGAAGTAATTATACTAGGAGATGCTATGGTTGTTGTTGTCGTCGTGGTAAAACATTTCGTTCCTGAATAAATACTACTATTTAACTCTGCAGAAAAATTCGGATAAGCATAATGATGATTGTTTCCGAATGAAATTTTTGACATTAATTCTGATGATGATGGACGTGTATTTGTAAGTAGTATAGGGTTCTATTATATTCATCGATTGTATAGAAGGTGGATGATATAAATGAAAGAAAAGAGGAAGGAAATAAAAAGAAAAACATGATTAATTCACTAACAAAATCAATATAATATAATACCATGCATTTATGTAAGAAAAAATGTTTATACTCATGCTTAAGTCAGTGAGTTTTTCATACTACTACTTATTCAATAAAGCATTACATGCATGTCAAATAACTTTTGCAACTATAAGATATGAGTGTATATTGCATACATAACCATCTAAGCTATCTAAAGATTGGATAAATGATTTTTTCAGTCATCGGATATCATTACGATTATCACATATAAACCTGTACTTGTGAAAAACCCAAACGTGTCTATAAAATATCTAATGAAAAAATTAAACTACTTGTTATTTGTTAGTAGTTAATGTAGGAATATTAAGAAAACGGTACGAGGCATTGTTGAAATATTAAAGAGAATATTAAATGAGGAGTTAGAAAGAGTTTAGGATATTGATTAGAAGTTTCTTACTAACTTCTAACTTATTTCAAATCTTTCCTACTTCTAATGGATGATATGAATTGCTTTTTAACATTGGATCATGAATCTACTATAAACACATTCACTGAAAAATAAATATAGTTCAGATCAGAATTCAAAAAAGCAGTATGCGTCGACTTTGTAAACAAACATAAAATCACTTGAAAGTTCTGGAGATTTAGTGTCTTTATGTGTGTGTGTGTATGTGTGTTACAATTGCCATGTTAATATTCACATGAAAACGTGTACTATACAAAATAACTATAAAGTTATCAACATAACAACAGAATATATATTCGTGCGAGGATAAATAAAATAAAGGTATAGTGTTTTTGTCATTACAATAAAACTGTAAAATATATGACAACAAGAAATGAAAATAGACAACATTCAAATAAGTATCACGCTCGTACTCATGACACACACACACACACACAGTAGTATTAATGTTATTGACGCTCTTTTTTGCATGTAAATACATAACGTTATTATGGTTATCATTAGTATTAGAATTAGTATTTCAATAGTTAACGATGAAATACACATCATAAAATAAACAATAAATAATAAACTATGACTGACTTGTTCTGATAATTATAATTAGCTCCTGAAAGTTGAAATAAACATTTACAATGAATAAACAAATAATTTTATTTTATTTTTTCATCATCAAACAACATTACTACTAGCTATTTATGGAAGTTTTATTGTGACTATTGGGTAACATGTTCAGGAACAGGGGAATTTAAATTTAAATGTCATTTCCGATTAATTTCATATAGTATCCATGTGTTGAAATTGAAATAGAATGTAATTTCATGTTTTACTCAAGTATTTATTGATTTATTAATTTAAACACACAAATATTAGTACAATGGGACATTGAATATGTATGCGCCACACAAGTCACTTGATTTGTGTGTGGGCTGTCATATTGCCCGAGTGGTCAGACCGAACCAGGTGGTTTTCTTAGGAGGCTCACCGGGAGCCTTCGACCTAAAGGTCTGATCCATAAGGTAGTAGGGCAACATCAGGAGGTACAGTCACATGGTAACCAGTGATCATTTGTTACCTCAGGATCATGGAGCCCGTGTGTACCACCGGTTGGAACCAAGGCTTTTCAACTCCACTAGGTGGATCTTCTGTATCCACTAACCCGGTTAAAGTGTCGGACATTCGGCTTTCCTTCTCTCAACTTCGTAAACAACACCCCAGGTTTTAGAAAGCATTGAGTAGGACTTCCTTGTCAGTGGCTGTATTCGCGTGGCTATGTGAGAGCATTTGGAGAGGGAGAGCTGACTCACCCTACTCTCGACCGTACCTGGACATTTCAACTATATGGTTCTTTATTATTATGAAGAACCAGACTACTTAAACCGATGTCATTGATGTGAAGTTTTCTAATTTGAAATCGTGCAGTTGAAAGAACTATTACTCCGAAGTGTTTTTTTATCTCTTAAACATACATAGTTATTTTTTTGTTTCATTCCGTTATAGAGTAAATCGAGTAGGGTTAGATTCATATTGACAACTGGTGTTTGTATTTATTAAATAAGTTTGTGGAATATTCAATTTTTCTTACTTTTCAATATACGGTTGTAAAGATAGTTGAATTTTATTGAGATCACAAATCTATCTAATTTGAGTAATCATTGAAAACCTGGAAACATTAGGTTGGGCTTTCACATTAGTATGGAACTCTTTTACGGTGTGTATCCACGACACTCCGCCGTAGGAGCGAATGCCTTATCCCAAGACTGTAGAGCTGGGATCCGGTATTTTCCAAGTCTAGCTTCAACCAATTCATAATATTTCCGTGATGTTGCGTTAATCACATCTAATGTTCACATGTTAGACTACTTTTCAGTAAAATAATTACTAATCGCGTACATTATTATTGTCTCAATATTCACTTAGAGATTATATTGATATTTTCATTTTGTGAGACCTGAGATACTTTTTTTCTGGTTACCTTAAAAGTACCTTAATGATTTGCATTGACCAATATTAGAATATAAAGTAAATATTACCATCTTTTCACCACCTAACGAGATTCATTTTGTTCAGAGAATGAAATTTACATACATTGAATGTTAATTAACGCATACACCAAGCATACCATTTAATTATTTGGCTGAGAGCAACACCTCTTGTGTTAAATCTTATGAAACTTCTTAGATATACTTAAAACGAACTAGGATGTACTTATCACAGATTCATTTCAGTCGAAAAACCAGTAAAAACCAAGGAGTGTAGAACAGTTGTTTCGTCTTATAATGAGTGGCCTTGTAAGTGCACACCTATCCCTAAGAACTTCAGGTCTCTTAACAAATATCCGATAATCAGAACCATCAGACTGTCCAATTTTCAACAACTGGTTGAAAATAAGATTGAAACATTTGATACCGAAGCATTAGTTCTACTGAATAATCGCTGGTTGTGGACGAACACTACTGAGAAGTTCCATACTATGCTGAAATAGATAGTCATATATTGTCTACTTCTTATTAATCATACAAATGAGATCAATTCATCTTAAAACTACAAAAATATTACTATGATAGAAAAGTTAATTTTACCTTAATATCATCATGTTTATGAGGATATCCAATTGATAGATCAATTGGTAATGAATCATTCACTGATAATATATCATCATCTTCATCATTTTGTATTAATGAAGAATTCTTAGATGGTGATGCTGCTATTGATGAAGATGATGATGTTGTTAATGATAATTGTTTTATAGATGAATATGCAATTAAATTCAAAGGATCATTTGATGTCATTTGATGATCTGAAATTTTTGAATAATTTTTACATTCCATATCTAATGAAATCATTTCATTGGATTTTGGTGAAATTCCAGATAAACCTGATAAATGTGATATTGTTGATGATGTTAATGATGATTGTGTTATGGATGTAATCTGTGGTCGAGAGAATACTGTTAATGGTTGTCTGATTGGAATCAATGAAACAATTGATGATTGACTTGGTAATATACATGATTGTATTTGTGAAGTACAAGATTGTGAATTGATCAATGAAGTCATAGGCAATGATGATGATGATGTTGTTGTTGTTGTTGTTGTTGAATACATTGTTAAAGAGATTGGTATTGATCCAATTGATGTATTCATATATTGTTCATCAATTGTTTCTATATCATTATTGATTATTGTAATTGGTAATTGATTACTATTTGGATGTTGTTTTTTTAAATGTTTTGTAATATCCCATTTATAATTACTACGTTGTCCACAGATTGGACATTTAAATTGTTTTAAATTTATATGACTAGCCATATGATTTTTGAATTTACTTTGATTTTGTGCATGATATGAACAAATATGACAGATTAAACTATTTTCAGCAATTGTCATTTGAGGTAGATAATTATTTATCATAGTATTAGTAAGGTTTACAGTACTATTAATACTACTATTAGTATTATTACCATTGATATTATTGATAGTATCCATACTGTTTGATTCATTATGTAATAGTGAGTAATTAGTTTTTAATGAATGTTTACGTGAATATGATTTAACAATTGAGTTCATTTTATCATCACTTTCATTGGAACTGTCATCTGAATTTTCAACATCAATACTAAGACTATTATTACTACTATTATTATTATCATGAGTAGTAGTAGTAGTAGTGGTAGTGGTAGTAGTAGTAGTAGTACTAGTAGTAGTAATTATAATATTTCCTTCTTCTTCTTCATCAATATGTAAACAATTGTATCGATCACTTGTATTATCACCTTCACTACTTTCGGTTGTTATATCAAATTGTGAAATAGGCAATGTGGAAGTATGTTCATAACCACTAGTCATTGATGATGCTGCTGCTGATGATGTTCTTGTACCAGCGTTATTTTTAAATTGTGACATAATTTTAATTAATTCTGTTTCACATGTAAAACGTTCTCTATGATGTGATTCCATATGACGTTTTAAATCACCTTTCCATGCACTACGATATGGACAAAAAACACATATGAATGGTTTAACACCCCAATGTAATCGCATATGACGATTTAATTCACTTTGATATTTTGCAACATATTTACAATGACTACAACAAAAACTTCCAGCTTTACCATTACGTGCATTTTCACGTGATTTTTGCATTCCATGCACAGAGCGTAAGTGTTCTGTTAGATCACCATGCCATGGAAATGTTGTTGGACAAATGTTACATCTAATTGTAGAGTGGGATGAGAAGACAAGCAAAAAAGAGAATACAAGTTTAATTTAACATCTGATACACAACAACTTAGCTATTATAGATATAAGAAAATCCCTAGTAAATAAATGGAGTTTAAGAAGAACCTTGGTTTAACACCGTTAAGCTTAAAAGGTCATTAGTTCAACTCACCTCGTTACTCCATAGACAATCACTTTATAATATTCCACAAAATTCTGTTGATATTCAAAAAAGATTGCATAGCATCACTCGAGGCACGTTCAGTTTATTTACTTACATTGAAACTATTCAACTGAGCTCAACTCTACATTTTTCATAGTTTAAATCACTAGCTAACTTTAAATACCCCACTACTACAGGCCTGTATTCACTAAATAGCTGTTTCATCCGAGTGCTGTACACTTTAAAAGTGAACATACACGTTCCTTCAACCGGGAAGCGGACTCACGAACTTCAGTCTTGAACGCTTAACACAGGAATCCAACACTGTACATCATCTAACTTCAGTCGATTCATGACATTATGTGACCATTTTCCACTGCTTGTGGAGTTCAACCACATTGGATGTGAGACTGAATGTCCTCGGTTCTATCCAAAGGTACAACATCGTGGATGTGCACTTCTAGAAAATCCCATAATAATCCATGAAAAGAAATGATGTAAGATAACTGTAATTCGATAGTTAGAAATTTTATGAAATACAGATTTATCGATGAATCAACAAACATTGACGATTGTGTACATCTACGAAACTGTATTTTATTCAAATAAATTACAAAAATTACTAGTAATTAATAGACACTTGTAGTATGAAACTGTCACTTTAACAAAAGTCTTATACACTTACAACCAATGTTAAAGATTGAAACTACTCATGTGTTTGTTTGTTTCTATTCATTATGAGATTTCTAATAGAAATGATTTATATCAGAAGGGGTTTTGAGGAGATTTTAGTAATTTCAATTGTTGAAATCATGAATCCATTGAAACTAGATCACCATGGAAAACTTGGAAGTACTGGACAGTGGTTTCGTCCTATTGTAGGACTCTTCAGCAGTGTTTTCAATGTTTCCAGATTTTCCATAGTGGTGTAACTTAACAATAGAAATGATTTTTGTAAATAGATTGCCAACAAAGGTCAAATTTATATATGAACTTTATTCTGAATAAACATTATTTATGAATATGTATTTTTTCTCTCTGAGATTATTTCAAAATATGAACTCAATTTGTTTACAAAGGTAAATAGAGTAAACAAACATTTTCAAAAGTAGTTCTTTCATCATAACAGATCAATAATTATAACATTCATGAATGATTAGTATGTTAAAGTTTGGATGAAAAAAAGTATGTTGTACATTATCTTATTGGATAGTTAAGCTAAAATAAGTGTAACAGACATTGAATTCATATTCTTATGTTTGAAATCGAATGTTTTAACAATGAAATCAAGATTCCAGATACCCTGGTAAGGCCGAGGGTGGGGAGAGTGAGCTCTCTCATAACCATGCGTATACAACCACTGACAAGGCGATCTTATTGATTGCGTTCAGAAACCGAATATCTGGAGTTTTAACTGGGTTGGTGGATATGGAGGATCCACCTAGAGGAGTTGGAAAACCCTCATTCTAAACCAATGGTGCACATGGGCTGGCTCCAGTATCCTAAAGGAACAAATGGCGTATGAACCAGTCGTTGATCATCGGTTACCATGGGACTGTATCTCCTGACGTTGTTCCACTGCCTTGTGGATTAAACTCGGGGAGTGGCCCCCTAAGAAAACCACCCGGTTCGGTTTGGGCGCCCGGGTAGTATTACAGCCAATACACAAATGATGTGACTTGTGTGACACATATCTATTCCGTGCCACTTTGTACCAATAGTTATGTGTTCATATAAATAAATAATAAAGAAATCATTACTTAAAAGATATAGAATCAACAATGTTTGGACTAAGCACACGATGCTTGATAGGAATAGGATATCGGTTGATGAGGTAGTGTATTTCCACTGACTGAAGTGGTCGGGACATATATTATATATGAACAACCACTGAGTACCTAAATCCATGATATTTGCTTTTGTATGAATCTGTTGCAAGAAAGCTAAGAGAGGTCAAATCAAAACATCCATGTAGACATTATCTATTGAGTTGAGTTGTATTGGTAGTTATCAACTCTCACATTACAGTCATCATAATCATCATGATCAGAGGTTGGAGATGTTGAATGTCATAACTTATAATAATTCAGGATGGTGCTGATGGCTTCATTTTTTGTCTGTTTATAGATCTTGAGTCTTTATTCCAGGAATTTTTATTCATTCTTCACTAATCATATTATTTGTGCTTGAACTCCTCCACTATCATCAATACAGTTACTTAAATCTATTAATCTGGGATCTACATTGATAATTTCATCTCATCACATTGCTTCAGTGTGGTAACTCAAATTAATATATACGTTTTATACATTACCTTGCTTATGGATGACCAACTAAAAGGCTAATAATTACCAAATAGATCTCTATATGTTATACGTTCACAATACAAGTGATTTGAAAAATTTGCAAAACCTAGTTTATCTACTGATTTTTTGCACCAATGATAAGTATATTGTCTTAATTAGACTAAATCATTTCGAATTTTATAAGTTTATATATTCTCCAAAATGCAATTTAAGCAAACCGCTTAATTATAAAGATCAAACCGTCTTCATAAGATATTTCCTAGAGTTCTAGTGAGAAGCTGTGGACAGTGGAGTTCAAATGGTTCTGATGTGAGATAGTAACTCACTGAAGACAATGGTCGATGGCGGCTCAATTTCATGGATTGGTTGAAGTTAGACATTAACACCGTTGGATTCAGGCCACCTCAGTGGTGTAGAAGTTAAGCGTTCGCGAGCCAGACCGAAGGTTCTGAATTCGAGTTTCTTTAATGCAGAGTCCCGAATACGCACTTCTGAGGAATCTCATACTAGGACGAAACAGCCATTCAGTGCTTTCAGGTTCTCCATAGTGGTCTAGCTTCAATCGACCCATGAATTTTACTATTAAAAAGCAACCAACTGACTACTTTTCACATTTGACACTTTACTTTAGATAAAAAATAAATTTGAATGTTTAACATTTGACTGATAACAATATTCATGTTAAGAAAATTCTAAATTACTTTTTTTTTAAAGTAGATGATTCATTAAAATTACAGTGAATTATCAGTAATATTTATTGATAATTACAGAGTAATTAATGTAAACAAGCTTATGTAATCACTTATTTTGCATAGTTTATAATAGTACAACACTGAATTGAACAAAATAGATAACATTTATAACTATTAAATCATCTTTGTATTGTGGATTGACCTAAGTTTTACAATCAGTTCAAGTTAGTATGAGACAATTCAGGAACAAAACCTGAATTTCAAGGGTAAGAAACTGCAATACGATTGTCGATGCGCACTGTAAAGAATTTAATACAGCTTCTGAATAGCTGTCTAACTAATCTTAGTTCGTGATGTTAACTATGAACCACTTTTTCCAGGTTTTCCATGATGATCTAGCTCCAATTGACTTATGAATTCAATTATTAAGTTACTCAAATCTCCACAAAACCCTCTTCTGATAATAATCATCATGCGCTCACAAGTGACCGGATTCAATAGGTATTCCCTAGAGTTCCAGTGAGAAGCCGTGAACAGTAGAGTTCAATTGGGTCTGATGTGAGATAGTAACTCACTGGAGATAATGGTCGATGGTGGCTCAATTCCGTGGATTGGTTGAGGTTAGACCGTTGGATGCCGGCCACCTTAATGGTGTAGAGGTTAAGCGTTCGCGCGCGAGACCGAAGTGATCAATTAACAAGTTTAAATAATAGGACATTGTGTTATCATTCAGTCCTAGACATCATTTAGTAATAACAACGAATATGATAGCATCTGTTGTTGTTCAAGAGAAAATTTAGACTGAACAAAGTGAAATAACTCATACAAGCAACAAAACGCACATATATCCGGTAGAATTAATCGAAAATATATAGGTTAAACAACTTTTCATAACATACCGATAACGTCTTCTTGAATCGACTTTCTTCACAACTGGATGATGATGATCGTCATCATCATCTCCAACTGTGATTACTTTAGTCGCTGTTCCCGTTCCTGTTGTGGTTGTAATTGTTGTAATAGATGATGGAGATGTTGTTACGGATAACAATGAAGATGGTGATGAGGATGTTGATAAGGATAATGTCGATGATGATAATGATAATGAGAAACATTTTTGTTTCTCCTTAGATTTACCATTTTTCAATGATGATGAATATGATCGAGATTTCTCAGATTTTTTTATCTCATTATTATTATTGTTTGTCATTTTTGAACTTTTGAATTTTGAATGAATCTCTGTTGTAGATGGTGATGTTGATGATGATGATGAGTTGTTTGAGCAAGTCGTTGTTATCGTCGCAATAGTATAAGTTGTACTTGTAGTACCAGGATTAATACCAGTATTCGTGGAAATTATCTTAAATTTATCAATAGTCCCACCCACACTATTCGTATTAGTATTAGTAGTAGTGGTAGTAGTAGTAGCAGTAAGGCAACAGTTACTATGATTTTTACTATATACAGTATCTAACTTTTGATTTTTAAGCATTTGTTCACTTGTTGTTAATGATGAATTGATTTGTTCCGGCTCGGTTGACCAAAATTTTACACGTTGTGGTGTAGATGATGCTTGTAATGCAAACGAATTATATGAGTGATAATTTTGTTGTTGTAAATTCATTGTTGGTTGATGTGATTGAAAAAAATCAAAAGATGTTGAATTATTCATTTCTAAGGGCCAATCTAATTTCATAGATTTTATAGATGATTTAGGACTGTCAGAATTCTCTTGATTCATTGTTATCATAGTTGATGTTGGTGGTGTGATTGATGTTAAATTACTGGTTGTTAAAATATTAGATACTGTTACATCACCATGTACTAGTTCCATATGTTCATCTTGTCTACGTGGAGATGATGCAGAGAAACCACAAACTGGACATATACACATTGTTACATCTGCATCGTCATTTCCAGCATTTGCAGTATTCACACCAGTAATAGTAGTAGTAGTATTATTACTATTACTAACTAAAGTATGTATTGCACTGTCTGTATGTTGGGAATTTTCCACATTCATCAAAACACCTGATGTATCTGGAATTAAATCATAATCCATATGAAATAGTGTTAATATTATCAATATTAGATCATCAAATGATTTTACTGTTAGGGTTAACGATAATATTAATCAGTTAGGTAGATAAGAACATGAATCCATAGATATCTATCCATTTACACGTACATATGTATATATTCATTAGTGTTTTACTATTAGCCTTGAAGCAAACTGAGAATGCTCCTTCCTTTATACTTATATCTTGTTTGTTCAATATCAATACATACAAGCGAAAACATACATTGACACGTAAGCACACATTTATTTGCTTGTTATTCATGTGCCATTTTGCTTATACATGACATTTTCTGATATACATACCATATACTGATTGAATGATTCGTTCGTTCGTTCGCTCACTCAGTCATGTTAACACAAGCAAAAAAGCATTCGAATAGACACGAACTTAGATACGCACAAATATGCGTATGTTTGTAATTGGATCTACACTAAACTCGAAAAAGAAATTGATAATGAATAAACAAACACAAGACACTGATTTAAAAAAAGAGTAAATAGTCCAGTTCGATGAATTAGACGGAGATAAATACTCTACACGAGCAGCAGAAATAATCAATGACTGACTGATAAACAAATCTAAACGAATATCCATCGTGTGCACACACATATACACACACTTCATACAAATTGTATGTCTGAATTGATTTGATAATAGAGATTATGAAATTTCTTAAACTAATGGAAAGAAAGAAATAGACATTTATGAAATGAATTTACGTACTAGTGTACTTGAATCCAAAGAACAATGTTGATATTTGTTCTTATATATAATCATATAAATGTGCGAGTCTTTTGTGTCTGTCTGTGTACATAAGTGTGTGTGTGTGCACGTATAATATTGATGGAACTAGTCTCAACAACAACAACAACGAAATACAAGATTTCTTCAATTAATGCATAGTTTGCATGTAGACGTAAATTACAGAGTAACATGCAAAATAAAAACAATAACATTAACGAAAACAGATAAGAGACAAATTTAAAGTACAAAACATTTGGATTGTTTCAACTTTGACAAATAATTTTGAAGGCATATAGTTGTATATTAAAATTTAAATTAATATGAATTAAAGACAAGATGTTATTCCTAAAGATGATGTTAATGATAATAAAAGTACTTAAGTTATTCTAGTCTTTCTGGTTGTTAGAAGAGGCATCGGCCTCGTGATTTCCGAAGAATCTCGCCTTCATCCTGAGGCATGATAATTCTTCCTTCAACTCCCAGGGCAAAGTTTAAATGGTTTAATTTGTTTAACCTGGTTGGCGTTTTTTTTAGCAAAATTTGTTCTACAGAATGGGGTTGCTGACATCATGCCCAACCCTCCTCAGTTACCCGGGCTTGGGACCGGCAGTAATTCCAAAAGAGCTACGGGCAAGCCCTAACTCGGAATCCTGAAGGTAAGCGGAAAAGAGGAAGGCAAAAGAACACATTACATTGGAAGTAGTAGCAAATATGAAAAGGATGAATAACAACTGTGAAGAACTGGAAAGGATCACTCAGGACAGGGTTGGATGTAAAGTGCTGGTGGGCGGCCTATGCTCCTCCACGAGGAAAAATGGGCGTAAGTAAGTAAGTCTTCCTGGTAAATAAATATACTTTGCTAATATGATTTGTTAATCTATGAAATATAATCATTTGATCTAAACTAGGTGGATAAACTTTGCTAGGATACATGTATAGACAAAAATCAATAAATGGTCATGTCATTATCAACATCATCAGAATGGGTCGTGGATGCGAACTGCTGAGGAGTCCCATACTAGGACGAAACGGCCGTCCAGTGCTTCCAGTTTTTCCATGGTGGTCTAGCTTCAATTGACTCATGATTTCAACCTGTGAAATTATCAACATTAGACTAAATTTAGAAATGTTTACTAATTTAGTGATCTGTAAATCCTTTCATTCGTCAGTTCAGATGCGTGTACATACTACGAGTAAATAAGTTACATCAATATGAAATAATTAAATATTTATTAATCAATTAAAATTACTGACGTATACCAGGTTATTTACATACAAATTAACCTAGTCAATTGTACTTGTACTTAATTTCTGTTTCATTTCTATGTGAATAATCAACATCTGCCTTATTATTATTATTATGATCAAATGTAATTAGCTTGAATTGACTACATTTATAATAGAAAAGTTTCATAGGCAATCTCTCTTTTAGTTAGAAATTAAGTCAAAGAGAAAGTAGAAACAATTTTCTAAATGAAACAAAATGTAATTTAATAGTTAAATTAATGAGTCAATTAAAACTAGACCACCATAGAAAACCTGGAAACACTAGATGATTGTTTTGTCCTAGTATAGGACTTCTCACCAGTCCGCATTCATGATTTTGCCTTACAAGATTCAAATCAGAGGATCTATCAGTCTCGCACACGTGAATACTTAACCTCTAGATCACTAAGCCGACATTCAACAAAATGTATTCACTTTCTAACACACACACAAAATAAAATAAACCATGTAAACTTATAACAAAAATTTCATCCCCCACCCCTACTCTGCCCCCCCCCCGCAAAAACAATTCAGTTTAATTTGATCTGAAGTATTCTATAGAAAATCAGAAAACAAGATATAACTTGATAAGACCTATTTAATTAAACGATCACAATTTTCTTTCTTTTTTTTCAACATTATTCTTTCTATAAATCTTTCTTTGTTATGAATAATCTAAGGTCAAAATAATTTAGACTGATTGAATTGGTATTACAACAACAATAAAACAAAACAAAACAAAACAAAAAAGTTATTTTCTCCCTTTCATTAGAATAAGAATAGAATTATTATCATAAATTTTAACATGCCATACAAATGAAGGTCATTTATATACAAGTGTGAAACATGAATAATGTGTACGTGTTCTCCTTTTTTTTTAAATATTTTATATCCATTTCTCTTTTTAAATCCAGGACCTATCAGTTTCGCGTGCGAGTGCATATCCATTGAACCACTGAGCCGCGATTCAACTGTGTTATTATCTAACTTCAACCAATCCACGAAATGGTGCCACTGTACAACATTGTCTTCAGTGAGCTGATATCTAGAAGCCGTTACCAGTGGAGTTCAACCAGGTCTGTTGTAAGATATCAGCTCACTGAAGACAATGGACGATGGTGGCTCAATTTCATGGATTGGTTGGAGTTAGACATTAACATCGTAGAATGCCGGCCAGTTCAGTGGTCTACAGGTTATGCGCTCGTGCGCGTGACTGATAGGTCCTGGATTGGAATCCCTCAAGGGGTAGGATCGTGAATGCGCACTGGTGGTCTAGCTTCAATTGACTTATGATTTCAACCATTGAAATTACTAAGATTTCCACAAAACCCCTTCTGATAATTTCTTTTTCGTATTTTTTCTTCCTTTCTTTCTCTTTTGATTTTTGTTCTGTTTACAAAGTTTATCGGTTCTCTTTTTTTCTTTGTATGCATGTGTGCGAGTACTTTTAATTCAAGGGGAAAATTAATGTTTTTTTTAAAAAAAATAATTCGAATAGTAAATAGTGAAATGAATTTGAGTTCTTTCATTTTCCTTTTCTGTTTTGTAATTCTAATAGATGAGATCATGATTGTGGATTAGTTGAAGTTAGACATTAACATCACTGGATTCCGGTCACCTGAGTGGTCTAAAGGTGTGTTCGCGCACCAGACAAAAAATTATAGGTTCAAATTCCGTATACACACTGTTGAGGAGTCTCATAATAGGATTAAATGGCTATTCAATTCTTTCAGGTTTTCCATGATGATCTAGCTTCAATTAACTCATTATCTCATCTTTTAAAATTACTATAATATCCACAAAACTCCTTCTGATATTTTCTATTTATCTATCGAAAAGAATATTGATTTCAGTTGTATGAAAGTGATTTAGGAAAACTTAGATACTATCTTGGATTTCATGAAACAGCTTCAATCTTTTAATATATCTGAATAAGAGAACCAGTAGATTTATCATAATAGTAGCATAATTTATTATAATTTGTATGATGCCAAAAAGGAACTAATGTTTTTGGTGAAGTTTTGTTCTCTGAGCTGGATAGTTTGGTCCAGCTCCACCAAAATCATTCACCTGAGCTACAAATCTTCTCCACCATCTCGAGGAACTAATGTACTAGATTCTTTGTTCTATAGAACTATCTTATTGTCATTGAAATCGATTTAGTAAGGATTTATTATTTGGTTTAAATACGATCTATAGTTTGAATACCATCGAATTTTCAATATAATTTGACAGATTTGGCATAATTTAAAGAAATTTTTAATGGCAGACTAGTTATTTTTCCTTTCTATCTTATCAAATGTTTATCAAATCATGTATGTTTATACAGAAAAATAAGACCGATCATATTATTATCATTATTGAACTTTAAATCTAATCTTATCAAAATAGAAAGTTCCCCTAATGTGTATAATTCTTTGTAGATTCCAGTCAAATGGAAATGAAATGGATGAAATGAAAGAAGACAAGAAAGAAGGTGTAGGGTGGAGACACAATAAGCAATAGAATAAACTAAATCACAATAAAAGGTTGATAAATTGAACTCGGTATTGTCAGATCATGCATAGGACATGGATAAGATATAAACACAATTGTAAAACAAAACAAAAAATAGGGATAAATATTATTCTCTTAGACACGTGACTATAGATATTTTCCTATTCTGTAAAGATAATAAGGGAAAGGTTTAACATGAACACTGTATACCATATAGCAAAGAAAGAATGATTCATTGTTTTCATTGTCTCTAATATCTTTTTGCTTATGTGCTTAAAAGGGTTCATGAAGAAAAAAATACTTAAGTGATCTGAAATGTAAAAGTTTGCTTCCGTTTCTGCAATACTGGATAAATATATATTTTGTGAAAGATTTGTCTGGTTCATTCATTATACATCTGTATGTTTGTATTGTTCTACTCTGTTCTGACCGAAAAAGGCAGGGAAATGATATTAGATTGAATTCATTTTCAGCCATATATATTGTGATAAGCGTTATAATTCACGATATATATAGGTATGAATACAAATGTATTATAACTGTAAAACATAAAGGAGTAATGGTCAGACAATTGTATTTTATGTACTATTATCAATAGAGGCGCCTAAATCAAATGTGTTTTTGTGTTCCAATAACATGAAAGAAAGATAAAAAGAAAGAAAGATAAAAAGAAAGAAAGAAAGAAAGGAACGGAATAAATAAACATATATTATAAGAGATAACAAAATTAAGACATGAGTGGGAGAAATCAAATCAAAGAAGATTAGATTGTTTTTTGGGGGGTATTGTTGCTGTTATTGTAAATAACATGATTATTTCATTATAAAATCAGTTGTATGGAAAAATTCAATTATTTGACAATATTTATAGACAATATTTGTTAAGTTGAAATAATGTGACATTCTATTGTGATCTGAAAGAATACATTAAAAGACTAATGTCTACCAGTCAATAACCATTCATTAATTAGGATTTTAAAGATAATGAAACTCCGTAGCATGCGACAAAATCCCTAGTACCGCAGAGGGTGTGGAGAGTCTACTCTCCCTTTCCAAATGCTATCACATTGCCACCTGCATACAACAACTGTTAGGGAACTCCTACTCAATGACCTCACGTACCAGGGGTGTTGTTTACGGAGTTGAAAGAACGAGAACTGAACGTTCGACACTTTAACTGGCTTGGTGGACACAGAGTCCACCTAGAGGGGTTGAAGACCCGTGATTCCAAATCAGTGGTGCACATGGGCTCCAGGATCTTAAAGGAACAAATGGCATATGAACCAATTATTGGTCACCTGCTACCATGTGACTGCATCTCTTAACATTGTTCCACTGCCTTTTGGATCAAACCTTGAAGTCGAAAGCTCCGGGTGTGGCCTCCTAAAAGAACCACATGCTTCTATCTGGACACCCGGGTAGTATCACAGCCCACACACAAATCAAATGACTTGTGTGGCGAATATGTTTTTAATGCCCCTTTGTACCAAGATTTATGTGTTCAAATAAATAAATAAACTGTGACTTCACTCAAATCAATGGAGCTCTCTTAACAAAAAGAAATTTCTGTTGGTTGTATTGCTAACTGAACAGTGTCTCCTACTACGTAATTTTTTTCTGTCTGATTATACTCTGTCTATCATTGTCTGTTTTCCCCCATTGTTATCTCACTATTTTGTGTGGTATTCAGTTTTATCGATATAATAAAAATGGTAATGATCAGTTCAGTGAAGTGAATCATTCTAATACACAAGTTACACATCTAGGCGATAGAGATTTAATTACATAGTTGCTTTTTTTAATTTGAAAAAAGACGTCTAAATAACTTAGTTGCATTTAAGAAAGCTGTTCTTAACAAACTGATGAATACTCAGTAAACCATATAGTAACGAGGGGATAAACGAAATTGAATAATCTTGTGATCAAGATGGGATAAGCCAGGTTAGGTATTAACATGTGATGTTTGACTGAAACATAAGCTAGTGGGTCACACCAGTTACGATCGACACGAGTACGTCGACAATTCCCATAGATCACTTTCGATTGTGATTGTAATGAATGTTGTGTATTAGAGTGTAGTTTTCATGGAATATTTCATTTTAAGTAACAACCTGTTCATAACAGACAATTGCAAATAACCTTATTCTCTTGAAATTACACTCGAATATACAATAGTTCATCATTGAATGAATAGAAAGATGTCTTGGTACGAAGTAACATCGAATACATATGCACCACACAAGTCACTTCATTTGTGTGGGAGCAGTGATACTGTCCCAGTGTCGAGATCGAAGCAGTTGACTTTCTTAAGAGGCCACGCCAGGGAGCCTTCAACCTAAAGGTCTATCCACATGGCAGTGGAGCAACGTCAGCACTCTCCGTGTCCACCAAACCGGTTAAAGCGCTGGTACGCGAGGGTATTGGGTAGGACTTCCTTGTTAGTGGTTGTATGCATGTGGCCATGTGAGATCATTTCGAGATGAACAATGACTGAAAATGTTAGATACAGTACATTAAAAATACGTCAATTAAACTGTACACAACTCAACTGATCTTAGTCAAACTATGAATATACTTCGAAATCATTTCAAATAAGAATCATTCAAAGGAGGACTTACTTTCATTATAATGACTCTTATTCACATATATACCGGATGTGTTGACCATCAATCGATCTATTGGCTTTGAATTAATAAAATAAGGTGAAGTAGTATTTTCGAAAGTCTGTTTATTAGGAAGAGAGAAGAAAATTGGGAAATAATTGATACATAATCTTGGTTTGTATTTACAAAGTGGCATCGATCTATGAAGTTAACAACTTGATCTGAGCGAAATTGATTACAAAAACAGGCTATATAGTGGAGATTATGTGGTGGTTGTGTGAAATAATGATTCTTTTGTATTTGAGGACTGCCTGATCTGCAATTCTAAATACAATACGCCTCACCTAGTTCTTCATGGTTTGATTTACGTTATGTCGGGAAGTCCTACTTTGTACGATAATTCAAATACATCTAATTATCATAGACTTAAAGACTGGTCCCAATTTATATATCACTGAAAAACATAAGCCATTGAATATTTATTTCATTCTAGTATATGACTCGTCAATGATGTGTACTCACAAGTGAGGCCGTTCATTGACGAATATAATGGTTAAATTGAACGAATACCAAAATAATAATTTAAATGAGAATGTAATGAATTTCTTTTTTATTGGTTGTTTGAATCTTTCCATTAATGTTTAGGATTGCGATAGATCAGTCTCTTATGATACATCCAGCTGACGAGTCCCAAATGGAATAAGGTGCTCATTCTGGATTTCATTGATAGCTACCATTCTGCTTATGAGAATACAGTAGTATATTAAAAGAAAACTTCATTTCCGTTGTAAACTTATCAGATATATCATGGATATTTCACAGAATACAATATTATACAAAAAAAATGAAGCACAGAATTTATATTTCCAATGAATGTTTCTAGTGGCGTTGTTTAATATTCTAAGCTGAATAACTTCATTCATAAGGTTCTCATTATCTTACTGAACATTATGCATACATACTTTGTAAATAAATTTTGTTTTGAATAACAAAAATGAATAACTTCCAAAGAAAGTTACTTAGTTTACAGAACCCTTAGATGTAAGAGATAGTACGATACTGTTCAACTAACTAAATCACAGTATGTAGAGAGTAGAATAATGCCTAATACATGAATAAATTCGCTATCTTTCACAACTATCTCTCATTCCCTGTGGCGAATCATTGTTTCATATCCTACATATTTCAATTCCATTAGTCATGGCTTCTGACTAGATCGGTTGGAAATCTTGAGGTTAGTAACTAATGCGACTTTGGATCCTTGAATTTGATTCTCTCTTGGATCATGATTGATCACAACTACAGTCAAGTAATATTCTCCACAAAGCCATTACATACACAAAGTAAATATTTATCATGTAACTTACTTGCATAGGATTATTTTCCAAACTGAAAGAGAAGAAAAACAAAGTAACCGTAATACTGTTGGCAATAAATATTTTTAAAAGCCTGTACTTAGAGAAATGTGAAAAGATAAATAATATAGTGCCGCTTTGTCACAAGTGAACTAGTGGACTTAGTTAGCCTATTAAAGTACTTTTTGAACTACCCCCTTCCTTCTTACTCTTTCAAAGAGATATAAGCAAATATGGAGTGATAACACTATTGTAGTTAAAATGTCTATCAAGCTAGTTAGTAATAAACATTGTAGAATGTCGAATAATTTTGCAACAATTAAAGTTTATCACGCTTTTCAAAAGATGAAAATCCAAGGCACCCAAATAACAATTGTAACAACAATAATATTGATACAAGAAATCAAACAATTAAAATTAAAGATCTAAGGACTAAGAGCCCGCTAGGAAACCTGAAGTCCTTCGGTTCATGAGTGAACACTACTGAGGAGTTCTACACTAGGGTGGGAAAGATATTCAGTTCCTCCTGGTTTTTAATGGGTGTTTAACTGGAGTTCGATTCATGATGCAAACTATAAAATATAGAATACAATTCAAAAAGACGAGACAAAATAATTTTGAAATTCAAGATTCAGCACACGTCTCCTGTCACAGAGATCGAATATTAACCAGGATTTTTAAGTGTTATTGTGCTCAAACACAAATATAAACACTAACAAAATCAAATTCCATAACAACAGAACATGTCCACCCGTAAACAACCACAAACAGGAAAGTTCTACTCACTACGTTCTTGTGGCAGGGGTATTGTTAACGAGATCAAGGATAAAAACTGAATGTCCGACAATTTAACCGGATTGGTGCATATGGAGGATCCAACTAGTGTAGTTGAAAAACCCGGTTTCCAACCAATGGTGAACATGGGGTTCAGGATCCTGAGCAAACAAATTGTGTATGAACCAATTGTTGATCATCGGCCACCATGTGCCTACATCTCCACTGTCTTGTGGATCAGATCTTTAGGTCGAAGGCTCCGGGTGTAGGACCCTAAGAGAACCAGCTACTTCAATCTAGGCACCCGGGCAATATGACAGCCCACACAAAAATCAAGTCACTTTTGTGGTGCACTTGTATTCGGTGCCTCTTTGTACCAATATTTGATTCGGTCATATTTATTCAAAGCTATTTGTTTATGCTAAAGTGATATAATAAGAAGCACAAGAATATTGGGAAATTGAACATTTTATCATTTCCTTATATAAACCAATTCTATGGAATATTAAATTGTTAAATGTAATCCACTTTTCATTATTTTAAATATAAAATTTGTTTTATTTATTTATTTATTCTGTTACTGTCATTCAGAATTGCTTCATCTTAGATGACCTAATGAAAAACTATTTGATTGATATATATATATATATCTAATTGACAATTTTACTATTATAAAAGGAACTAAATTATCTATGTATATACAGTACACAAGTTCATGTGTTTCATCTTCACAAACACACACACACACACAAAGAGGCACATACACACACACGCACACGCACAGTAACTAATAAACATGAACCTATTCATATATTTATACAATTCATGGATAAATTATTAAAATTTACCAGAATTACTCAGTTAAATATAAATTTTGTAAAACAAAAAATACTCAGTTTTATAACGTTAGTTCATGTACATTACTGTTACTTAGTTTTATATCCATTAAAACTGTCAATTTTCAATAAACAGTTAATAATTATAGTTATCAACAATACAGGATATTTAAATATGATTTCATTTGACTTTTATTTACTCTCCCCCCTCTTTCTCTCTCTTATTATCTCTATGTAGATATATTCATAGATGTGTAAACAAGTTTAGTATACTCAGATAATTCATAATCTTTTCTTTGTCCTCGAAAGGTGTGTGTACATTGAAAATGTAATTTACAATAATATACTTCATAATTATTAATTATGTAATCAGAAATTTTAATTTATTATAAAATGTACTGTACTGCACTATACTGTACTGTACTGTACTGTATTGTACTACATTGTACTGTATATTTTGTAACTGTATACATGTATTTCAATGAAATTAGATGACATTCATAGAAGTATGATGAGAAAATGAACATAAATAAATTTATGTTCATTTTTAAACAACAAAAAAAAGATTTTCTCGTTAATAATTGAACTAACTTAGTTTATATTAACAAATTTCAATGTTATATACATTATCATCATTTGTGAACACACACACACGCACACAAACACTAAATATTTGCATGTATATATATGTGTGTGTGTTTGAGAGTGAGTGAGTGAGTGATTGAGGGTATACAAATGTCAATAATACTAGTAAAAATTTACTTATATACCCATGAATGTCTACAACAAGATGACAATTTCAAAAATTGTGCTACCCATTTTTTTTCCTAAACATTAAATTTGTGATGGAAACGAAACCGATGGCGACAATAATGTTTACAATGCTTTTGAAATAGTTTTATTTTAGTCATTAAAATGTATATCACACAACAGCAAGATGAAATATGATATAACAACTAACGAGGAGAAACTGTATACAATTGTAACCTACGGATAGATAAAGTTCCAATGAACCGATATGAAAAGAAGATATGAATTGTCTTATATTGGTATTTCAATTACAATAAAGAAATATAGTTTCTATTTACAAGAAACGACAATAAGAATAAATAACTAGAATTATATTGGGAATATTATATATCTAACACAGCTTATGTCATAGATTAACTTATATCAACTAGGAAGTCATCTTTATATAGAAATTCTCATCTTGGATTATTAAGTGTCAGTGTTAGGTTATATTTTGTAAACTATTTAACTAGAAATAAATGATTCGTACTTCTATTATTTGATAGTTGATATGACGACTTTGAACACAAATATTCGCAACTACAATGTTGACTTTTAGTTAAGAGAAAACACTTGAATTACATTATTGATTTCGATAAAATCATTCAAATCAAAGGGTGTATGTGTGTGTGTGTATGTAAAATAATTTAGTATTGTGTTTGAATTTTAGAAGTATTCAAAAACTGTTCCATTGAGAAACTACATATCCCTGATTCTAATTAAAGAGAACTGTTGTAATAAGTGTATTATAACTTTATATTCATTGTAAATCGATATATGAATCGTTTTCTAATGATATCTCTCTTATTATGTATCACAAAAGCGAACAAAATGTGTTCATTGACTTAAACATACACACACACACAGAGTTATACCTGCAAAGATAGAGAGAAAGACACAGAAACTGCGAGTAAAAGATTTTGAATCATAGTAACAATAATATTACTAATAATATCTTATGGACTATGAACTGCATGAAATTTATTTTTATAAAATTGTCTCCTTCCCCTTTATCTCTTTCTCTCTCTCTCCCTCTCTCTCTCTCATGCACACACTCCCTCTCTTTCACACACACACACACACACGAACAGACACATACATTTTGGTAATGCACATGAACTTATGCATTACTGTTAAGATATTAAAAAAAATTTTTTTAGAAAAAACTGTAAAATCAACTATTTTAAACATTTTTACAAAGAAAACAATTTTAATGAACGCGTTCTCTATGAAATAAGGACTGTAATGATTAGAAACGCTACAGAAGAATTGTTTCATACAAAATTCAATGAAACAATTGTGTAACACTATGAGAAATGTTTCCAAAATATATAGTTTTTGTTTTAAAAAAAAATAGCTGATTTAATGGGGGGTCGATGAAAAAAGCATGATTTTTTTAAAAAAAATATATAAACTAATTGCACAGTTCAATGTTTCAATGGTGTTATGTCAATAATTGTTAAGCAACAAACATTTGGGACTTAACCAAAAAAAATTTTTTTTTCTGGAATAATAACCGATAAATAGAGATATTTTTGATCAATCACAGAAAAAAAGTGTTTTAAAATTCTATTTTACTGAAGGGCAAAGTAACATGTTTTGCTGTGATAAACTGGATTAACTGGATTAAGATTGTTTGATATATTCTAATTTCATGTATATGAATTTTTTGATGTTTTTTCGAAAAATTTCACTTGATAATCAGTTCAGAAAGAGAGGAACAATATCTAGTAATAATAGTAGTAGTAGTGATGGTCGTGGTGGTGGTAATAGTACTACTACTACTACTACTAGTAGTAGTAGTAGTGTGAATAGTAAACAACTAAGTGAGTGTGAATATCTGAAATAATTCAGCAGATTCAGTATTTCAATAAAATGCATATGCTTAATCTAGATATAAGATATTTAATATTATAATCCTTTTAACAATAATATCACTCAAATTAGATTTGATAAATTCATTGTTTTATTATGTCATTAATTCATGATATAATTGTTTGTTGAACAAAGATGTGTGCATAGATGTAAACTTCCTAGGTTGGAATATAACTAATATCAATATGTACGACTAAGCACATATATGCATCGGTCCAAGTTGCCATACCTCATTAGCACAACAAGATGAACACCGGATTCATAGAAGTAGTTAGTTCAATGGTGGTAATATGTAAAAGAAAGATTGCATATAAGGATATAGTATAGGAAGAAAGAATTAGAAAGAAAGGTATAAAGTAATTTTAATCTCATGGTTTAAGGGAAGACAGCGAGTGTGTACACCGATGCCATTGTTATCGATTCTGAGCCATGTCACACAGTCTCCAACCATTGGTTACGATAGTCACGTGGACCCCAACCAAGTAGTCTACATCTACCAACATGACTCAGACTAGAAATTAGTGAATTCAAGCACTGATGCCACGTTTTGATTTGGCCGCCCCTAACTTTGTACTAACCATCCCCAACACTAGTCAGCACTGCGCGTCGTGGTGATCGGTGTTCAGGCATACGCAACACATGGCTCAGCCACATTGGTTTTTAATGTCTACGTCGCTGATAACTCTACTTGTAGCTGTTCTAGAGTTACTGTCGGTAAAGTAGGAGAGTTGGACATAAGGGTCGGCAACCCCACCCAAAT